GAGACAGAATAACAACAACAAAATCCAGAAAAACGCATGTCAAAAATGTTATAAATTGATTTGCATTTTAATGAGGGAAATAAGTATTTGACCCCTCTGCAAAACATGACTTAGTACTTGGTGGCAAAACCCTTGTTGGCAATCACAGAGGTCAGACGTTTCTTGTAGTTGGCCACACATCTCAGGAGGGATTTTGTTCCACATCTCTTTGCAGATCTTCTCCAAGTAATTAAGGTTTTGAGGCTGACGTTTGGCAACTCGAACCTTCAGCTCCCTCCACAGATTTTCTATGGGATTAAGGTCTGGAGACTGGCTAGGCCACTCCAGGACCTTAATGTGCTTCTTCTTGAGCCACTCCTTTGTTGCCTTGGCCGTGTGCTTTGGGTCATTGTCATGCTGGAATACCCATCCACGACCCATTTTCAATGCCCTGGCTGAGGGAAGGAGGTTCTCACCCAAGATTTGACGGTACATGGCCCAGTCCATCGTCCCTTTGATGCGGTGAAGTTGTCCTGTCCCCTTAGCAGAAAAACACCCCCAAAGCATAATGTTTCCACCTCCATGTTTGACGGTGGGGATGGTGTTCTTGGGGTCATAGGCAGCATTCCTCCTCCTCCAAACACGGCGAGTTGAGTTGATGCAAAAGAGCTCGATTTTGGTCTCATCTGACCACAACACTTTCACCCAGTTCTCCTCTGAATCATTCAGATGTTCATTGGCAAACTTCAGACAGCCCTGTATATGTGCTTTCTTGAGCAGGGGGACCTTGCGGGCGCTGCAGGATTTCAGTCCTTCACGGCGTAGTGTGTTACCAATTGTTTTCTTGGTGACTATGGTCCCAGCTGCCTTGAGATCATTGACAAGATCCTCCCGTGTAGTTCTGGGCTGATTCCTCACCGTTCTCATGATCATTGTAACTCCACGAGGTGAGATCTTGCATGGAGCCCCAGGCCGAGGGAGATTGACAGTTCTTTTGTGTTTCTTCCATTTGCGAATAATCGCACCAACTGTTGTCACCTTCTCACCAAGCTGCTTGGCGATGGTCTTGTAGCCCATTCCAGCCTTGTGTAGGTCTACAATCTTGTCCCTGACATCCTTGGAGAGCTCTTTGGTCTTGGCCATGGTGGAGAGTTTGAAATATGATTGATTGATTGCTTCTGTGGACAGGTTTCTTTTATACAGGTAACAAACTGAGATTAGGAGCACTCCCTTTAAGAGTGTGCTCCTAATCTCAGCTCGTTCCCTGTATAAAAGACACCTGGGAGCCAGAAATCTTTCTGATTGAGAGGGGGTCAAATACTTATTTCCCTCTTTAAATGCAAATCAATTTATAACAGTTTTCACATGCGTTTTTCTTGATTTTTTTTGTTGTTATTCTGTCTCTCACTGTTCAAATAAACCTACCATTAAAATTATAGACTGATCATTTCTTTGTCAGTGGGAAAACATACAAAATCAGCAGGGGATCAAATACGTTTTTCCCTCACTGTATATAGTTCACTATTTTTAACCAGAGCCCTTGAGACACACACTTTGTGTCTTATACATTACATGTCCCTTCTTGTGTTAGGACACCCACATGTGTGCAGTAACCATGGGCTCCGCTGAGTGTGGTGGTGGGGACATTCATATCCTCTCTTACCCCTGTCTCAAGAGGACCACAATGGAAATAAGTCCCAGACTTTATTGTGTGTTATCCTCGATGACTTTACTCATGTGCATGTATGGCTTTTCAAGTTTTATGTGTGCTTGTTTTTTTTAATGGTCAAATTAATAAACTAAACTAAAGGGAGTAGAGGATCACACAAAAAACACACTATCTACTTCCAGTGTTCTTCTGTCTGGTTTGCTGTGTTGTAAGTTGTGACTGAGTGTAAGAATTGTGTGTACTTTATATGGCATGCATGCATTTTCTGTCCATTCTGTGTTTAATGTATACTGCTTCGATTCATTGTTATGTTACATGTTGTGTCTCATGTGGAACTCTATCTATGTTGCATTCTTGGTGGGCTCACTTGGAAAATATATGTAAATCTCAATGTGACTTTCTCTGGTTAAATAAAGGATAAATAAATAAAATACTACAGACTTACCTGTCAATAGATCTGGAGAGAATAGCAGAGATGGTGAGCAATTTACAGTGGGGAGAACAAGTATTTGATACACTGCCGATTTTGCAGGTTTTCCTACTTACAAAGCATGTAGAGGTCTGTAAAATCCAGAAAATCACATTGTATGATTTTTAAGTAATTTGCATTTTATTGCATGACATAAGTATTTGATACATCAGAAAAGCAGAACTTAATATTTGGTACAGAAACATTTGGTTGCAATTACAGAGATCATACGTTTCCTGTAGGTCTTGACCAGGTTTGCACACACTGCAGCAGGGATTTTGGCCCACTCCTCCATACAGACCTTCTCCAGATCCTTCAGGTTTCGGGGCTGTCGCTGGGCAATACGGACTTTCAGCTCCCTCCAAAGATTTTCTATTGGGTTCAGGTCTGGAGACTGGCTAGGCCACTCCAGGACCTTGAGATGCTTCTTACGGAGCCACTCCTTAGTTGCCCTGGCTGTGTGTTTCGGGTCGTTGTCATGCTGGAAGACCCAGCCACGACCCATCTTCAATGCTCTTACTGAGGGAAGGAGGTTGTTGGCCAAGATCTCGCGATACATGGCCCCATCCATCCTCCCCTCAATACGGTGCAGTCGTCCTGTCCCCTTTGCAGAAAAGCATCCCCAAAGAATGATGTTTCCACCTCCATGCTTCACGGTTGGGATGGTGTTCTTGGGGTTGTACTCATCCTTCTTCTTCCTCCAAACACGGCGAGTGGAGTTTAGACCAAAAAGCTCTATTTATGTCTCATCAGACCACATGACCTTCTCCCATTCCTCCTCTGGATCATCCAGATGGTCATTGGCAAACTTCAGACGGGCCTAGACATGCGCTGGCTTGAGCAGGGGGACCTTGCGTGCGCTGCAGGATTTTAATCCATGACGGCGTAGTGTGTTACTAATGGTTGTCTTTGAGACTGTGGTCCCAGCTCTCTTCAGGTCATTGACCAGGTCCTGCCGTGTAGTTCTGGACTGATCCCTCACCTTCCTCATGATCATTGATGCCCCAAGAGGTGAGATCTTGCATGGAGCCCCAGACCGAGGGTGATTGACCGTCATCTTGAACTTCTTCCATTTTCTAATAATTGCGCCAACAGTTGTTGCCTTCTCACCAAGCTGCTTGCCTATTGTCCTGTAGCCCATCCCAGCCTTGTGCAGGTCTACAATTGTATCCCTGATGTCCTTACACAGCTCTCTGGTCTTGGCCATTGTGGAGAGGTTGGAGTCTGTTTGATTGAGTGTGTGGACAGGTGTCTTTTATACAGGTAACGAGTTCAAACAGGTGCAGTTAATACAGGTAATGAGTGGAGAACAGGAGGGCTTCTTAAAGAAAAACTAACAGGTCTGTGAGAGCCGGAATTCTTACTGGTTGGTAGGTGATCAAATACTTATGTCATGCAATAAAATGCAAATTAATTACTTAAAAATCATACAATGTGATTTTCTGGATTTTTGTTTTAGATTCCGTCTCTCACAGTTGAAGTGTACCTATGATAAAAATTACAGACCTCTACATGCTTTGTAAGTAGGAAAACCTGCAAAATCGGCAGTGTATCAAATACTTGTTCTCCCCACTGTACATCCTAAGGCTCCTGACTCAAACTACAAAGAATGAAATCAACAGTCAGTCAACTGCGAAAAAATCTAACAGAAAAATTAAACCAAACCACATGGTCACATAAGGATATTGTCCATTTAATTAATAGAAGATAATCTCAATTGTTGTATGTGCTGCTCCACAAGCAACTGAAGGTCCTTTAGATTATCAACATGAATACATGTAATCTACAACAAAAGAGTTTTGGGAACAAATTTGTCCCAAATTGGATAAAACAATATCCGAACCTCTCGTCATGTATTAGCCATATACTGTACAGATGCTGTCAAATATATTGTCACCCTTGTGCTTTACAATGGAGTGCAATGGAGCAGAATGTTCTGTTTTTTCTTTTCAAAACTGGTTGAATGGCTATTTGTATCCTGTAGGCACATGCAAAATACTGTACCACAGGTGAGATAAATTACACAATAAATGAGAATCATTGCCTCCAATCAAATTAAATTGAATTTTGAGTAATTTAGTCCAGACCATTTTTGACTTTGAAGTGAAACATCTCAATTTCAGTTCATATATTTTTTTTCTTGGTCCTGTGCAATTGTAAATCAAACAAATACACGTGTGAACACCAAATGTTTGTTCAATTTCAACGTATATTAGAAGAAATACAATACAATCATGCAAGGAGGCAATTGTACTATATTTCACCAATATTTCATATTGCATCTGTATGTAGACAGCATGTTTTTATAGGATAAATTATACAATTTGAAAACATTTACTCTAATCCAATTACATTATTATTGTTCCCAGATATCTGGGAATAATATGATCAAAAGCAGAATAGCCTTTTTTATTGGATTATTATGTATCACAGTTCAATGTCTTATGAGGTTTGAGTAAGCCAAAGCATGCACTCTGGTCTACTTTGAGGTATTCCTAACATTACTGTACCTTTTCTAGTACTCCTTCAGATCTACAGTGTCCTGTATGGGTGAAATGGTTTCTTCCTGATGTTCTGTAAGATAACATAGGTAACAGAAAGGCTTATAAAAGGAATAACCTTGGCTTACACCTTCCAACAACCTGGGTCATATTCATTAGTGCACACCGTAGCAAAATGTTTTGCAACGGAAATCGAAAACAAGAGTTTCTTATTGGACAACTTCAAGTAATCCCTCCCTGTTTTGGTCTGTTTTCTTCCTTCTGTTTGGTGACTAGGCTACAAATACAACCCTGTATTTTCATGTTGACATTCCCTATAAAGTAGTTTTGATTTTGCTGGCTAGATTCCAACAAGGATCAGAGAAAGGTTTATAACTTACATAGCGATGGTGGCTTTTTTCCCTTCCCCAGCCCGCCACAGGATCTCAGCAGTGGCCAACGCGAGGCACTTTGTTCTCGCAGCACTGGAGGGTCTTAATCTCCTGGTGACAAAATGCCATGTGAAGTCAAGACGGAATTAAATACTGGAATTTACAGAACGTTCCATGACTTAATATTCACTGATGTAAATCAAGAAAGCACTCCTTGATGTAAATGAATGGTTGGTGAAGAACATTTGATTTATCATAATAAGTACTATGTCCCAAATAGCACCCTATTCCCTATATAGTGCACTACCTTTGACCAGAGCCATTTACAGTGCCTTTGGAAAGTATTCAGACTCCTTCCCTTTTTCCACATTTTGTTATGTTACAGAATTATTCTAAAATGGATTAAATATGTTTTTCCCTCATCAATCTACACACAATACCCCATAATGACAAAGCGAAAACAGGTTTTTAGAAATGTTTGCAAAAATATAAAACGTATTTACATAAGTATTCAGACACTTTGCTATGAGACTCGATATTGAGCTCAGGTACATCCTGTTTCCATTGATCATCCTTGAGATTTCTACAACTTGATTGGAGTCCACCTGTGGTAAATTCAATTGATTGGACATGATTTGGAAAGGCACACACACCTGTCTACATAAGGTCCCACAGTTGACAGTGCATGTCAGAGCAAAAACCAAGCCATGAGGTCGAAGGAATTGTCCGTAGAGCTCCGAGACAGGATTGTGTCGAGGCACAGATCTGGGGAAGGGTACCAAAACATTTCTGCAGCATTGAAGGTCCCCAAGAACACAGTGGCCTCCATCATTCTTAAATGGAAGAAGTTTGGAACCACCAAGACTCTTCCTAGAGCTGGCCGCCCGGCCAAACTGAGCAATCGGGGGAGAAGGGCCTTGGTCAGGGGGGTGACCAAGAACCCGATGGTCACTCTGACAGAGCCCCAGAGTTCTTCTGTGGAGATGGGAGAACCTTCCAGAAGGACAACCATATCTGCAGCACTCCACCAATTAGGCCTTTATGGTAGAGTGGCCAGACGGAAGCCACTCCTCAGTAAAAGGCACATGACAGGCCGCTTGGAGTTTGCCAAAAGGCACCTAAAGGACTCAGAGCATGAGAAACAAGATTCTCTGGTCTGATGAAATCAAGACTGAACTCTTTGGCCTGAATGCCAAGCGTCACGTCTGGAGGAAACCTGGCACCATCCCTACGGTGAAGCATGGTGGTGGCAGCATCATGCTGTGGGGATGTTTTTCAGCGGCAGGGACTGGGAGACTAGTCAGGCTTGAGGGAAAGATGAACGGAGCAAAGTACAGAGAGACCCTTGATGGAAACCTGCTCCAGAGCGCTCAGGACCTCAGACTGGGGCGAAGGTCACCTTCCAACAGGACAATGACCCTAAGCACACAGCCAAAACAACACAGGAGTGCCTTCGGGACAAGTCTCTGAATGTCCTTCAGTGGCCCAGCCAGAGCCCAGATTTGAACCCGATCTAACATCTCTGGAGAGACCTGAAAATAGCTGTGCAGCGATGCTCCCCATCCAACCTGACAGAGCTTGAGAGAATCTGCAGAGAAGAATGGGAGAAACTCCCCAAATACAGGTGTGCCAAGCTTGTGGCGTCATACCCAAGAAGACTTGAGGCTGTAATCGCTGCCTAAAGTGCTTCAACAAAGTAAAGGGTCTGAATACTTATCTAAATGTGATATTTCCGTTTTCTATTTTTAATAAAGTTGCAAAAATCTAAAAAACTGTTTTTGCTGTCATTATTTGGTATTGTGTGTAGATTGATGAGGAAAAACAACAATTTAATACATGTTTGAATAAGGCTGTAACAAAACAAAATGTGGAAAAAGTCAAGGGGTCTGAATACATTTAGAATGCATTGTAGGCCCTGGTCAAAAGTAGTGCACTATATAGGCAATATGGTGACATTTGGGACACAGATCCTGTGTGATGGATTTGTTATCTCTATGCAGGGTGGTACAACTATAGCATTACAAAGGTGATCCAATCCTACCTTCTGTACAATCCCATATCTCAGATCCGGTGTGTCTGAGAATGTGAAACTCTTGACTCCTCCACTCAGCACTGAAACAACTGGTGCTAGATCCAAGGATGAGCTCTTTCAGGGCCTGGTAGAAAACACAGAAAGCCATGACATTATCACTGCACATCACAGCATTTTAACTCAAACCAGTCCAGTAATCATATACGAGTCTCAAATGGAACCCTATTCCCTATATAGTGCACTGCCTTTGATCAGAGTCCATAGGGCTCTGGTCAAAAGTAGTGCACTATGTAAGGAATAGGGTGCCATTTGGGATGCATACAATCTAAAATGGCAGTGTGCTGATCCATGGGTTGACTATCAGAACTGGGCTGAGGCAAACTGGAGGAGTGGAAGGACACTCTGGGGAACTCACTCAACTCCTCGTCATCATCAATGTCATCTGCAATAAAATATATGGTCCATGTCATCCAATACTGCAACTGTAGTGTCATCATGATAACAATGGACGTTGAATGAATGTTGCATTCAGCTTGATAAAATGGTATAATTACCGAAAATCATCTCCGACATGCAGATCAACATTTTGATTGGACATTGATTTTATTCTGAAAATAAATACATAAAAATAAACTCAGCAAAAAAAGAAACGTCCCTTTTTCAGGACCCTGTCTTTCAATGGATAATTCGTAAAAATCCAAATAACTTCACAGATCTTCATTGTAAAGGGTTTAAACACTGTTTCCCATGCTTGTTCAATGAACCATAAACAATTAATGAACATGCACCTGTGGAACGGTCGTTAAGACACTAACAGCTTACAGACGGTAGGCAATTAAGGTCACAGTTATGAAAACTTAGGACACTAAAAGGGCCTTCTACTGACTCTGAAAAACACCAAAAGAAAGATGCCCAGGGTCCCTGCTCATCTGTGTGAATGTGCCTTAGGCATGCTGCAAGGAGGCATGAGGACTACAGATGTGGCCAGGGCAATAAATTGCAATGTCCGTACTGTGAGACGCCTAAGACAGCGCTACAGTGAGACAGGATGGACAGCTGACCGTCCTCGCAGTGGCAGACCACGTGTAACAACACCTGCACAGGATCGGTACATCCGAACATCACACCTGCTGGACAGGTACAGGAAGGTAACAACAACTGCCCGAGTTACACCAGGAATGCACAATCCCTCTATCAGTGCTCAGACTGTCCGCAATAGGCTGAGAGAGGCTGGACTGAGGGCTTGTAGGCCTGTTGTAAGGCAGGTCCTCACCAGACATCACCGGCAACAACGTCGCCTATGGGCACAAACCCACCGTCGCTGGACCAGACAGGACTGGCAAAAAGTTATCTTCACTGACGAGTCGCAGTTTTGTCTCAACAGGGGTGATGGTCGGATTCGCGTTTATCGTCGAAGTAATGAGCATTACACCGAGACCTGTACTCTGGAGGGTCCGTCATGGTCTGGGGCGGTGTGTCACAGCATCATCGGACTGAGCTTGTTGTCATTGCAGGCAATCTCAACGCTGTGCGTTACAGGGAAGACATCCTCCTCCCTCATGTGGTACCCTTCCTGCAGGCTCATCCTCACATGACCCTCCAGCATGACAATGCCACCAGCCATACTGCTCGTTCTGTGCGTGATTTCCTGCAAGACAGGAATGTCAGTGTTCTGCCATGGCCAGCGAAGAGCCGGATCTCAATCCCATTGAGCATGTCTGGGACCTGTTGGATCGGAGGGTTAGGGCTAGGGCCATTCCCCCCAGAAATGTCCGGGAACTTGCAGGTGCCTTGGTGGAAGAGTGGGGTAACATCTCACAGCAAGAACTGGATAATCTGGTGCAGTCCATGAGGAGATGCACTGCAGTACTTAATGCAGCTGGTGGCAACACCAGATACTGACTGTTACTTTTGATTTTGACCCCCCCTTTGTTCAGGGACACATTATTCAATTTCTGTTAGTCACATGTCTGTGGAACTTGTTCAGTTTATGTCTCAGTTGTTGAATCTTGTTATGTTCATACAAATATTTACATGTGTTAAGTTTGCTGAAAATAAACGCAGTTGACAGTGAGAGGAAGTTTCTTTTTTTGCTGAGTTTATATTAAATAGGCTACAGTTAGAAATCCGAAATTCCCTGATCATGAAAACAGTTGAAGGAAACTCAAATCTAATTACTTGTTTTTTCCTACTCTCTCAAATCCATCTTCATCACTTCCTTTCCCCGGTGTGCTACATGGCTGTTGGCTTTCTCTCATAGGGTCAGCAGGGGAGAGCTCGGTCAGCCCCGTAACCATTCTCTGTGACTGGACAATCAATGGAGGCCCATCTCTTGCTGTTTTGTTGTCTTCATCATTTGCCAGAAGAGGATTTGGGCCTCCTAATCGTCGAGTCTGGCGTTTTCTATTTGATTCCTTCGAGAAAACACAATTCAAATCACCAAATAAGGGAATAAAGTGAGCTTTCATCAGTTGTATGTATCACAAGTGTCAGCTAAGTGAAGTATCCATGATTATGAATATACAAATCCCTCATACCAATACAGGGTCGTATTCACTAGGCACCTAACTGAAGAAAACTGACTGAAACAGGGAGGGACTATCTGAACACTCCTTTTCATTTTTGGTTTTACTACAGTGTGCACTAATGAATACGACCCAGGTTTAATTTAGTCAAACACTGTACCTGGGGAGATCTAGCTATTGGACCTGCTCTTGTGAGTATTCTCTGTGGTGACAACAGTATTTTTTTGTGAAAAGGATTCCCTCTTAGCTGACCTGTCATTATCTAGAAAGGAATGTAAAGGCTGTTGGTCCTGCTGGCTGTGGCTACGTTTATGGCTCCAGATACTTCTCTGGGTAGTTGTGGGGTGAGTATCTGATGCTTCAAATGATGATAATGTACCATGTGATGGACAGACAACCTCTGTAACTGACCTGTGACAGAAACAAATCACAAATACAGAACCCTTGCAAATAATCTAACTAACATGTAGCCTAGTCTCTCATGACAGCTGAGATTTAGTTCTGGGTGCCAAAATTATCTAATAACATGCCTTTAGTTTATGATGAATACCTCGACATGTCAGTTTTGTTGAAAATAAACTCAGTAGTGTTCTCTTCTGTCCTGGGGTTGTCATACACTGTTTGTGTCACTGTTGAGATTTTGTCAACAACTTCTGTGTAATGTTAGTTGATTTGGTCTGGATGGCATCGCTGTTGAAGCATGTCCTGTCATCTTTATGTCCAATATGATGTCTTACAACGACCTCCAACATTGATTTTATGGGACAGTCTTTATTATTGAATAAAACATTACAAGCAGCATATTAGTTAATACATAGTTCTGTCCCCTTTACACTCTCAATAAATTCAAACTCATCTTTGTTTTATTAGCTAGCTAGCTGGATTACCTTGTTTTTCTTAGATAGACCGTCCAGGTGAAGAATTTGTCGCAGGTCGGATCTATTGTTGATGTTGGCATCTATACGGGGATGCTCTTCATCCATGCAAGCAATCGTTTTCTTGAGTCCCCGTAGTGTGTACAGGTAAACTAAACAAACATGGACTGAGCCTGCTGTTAGCTAGTTTAACTGTAACGTTACCTGTAAAGCTTAAACATTCTCAAAACATCTGAGATGACTTCATCACTGAACTGACTTCAAGTTATTGCTAATAATGCTAGCTACGTTCTCTAATATTCTCTGTTTGTACACTACCTACAACTCCAGATTGAATGGTGGTGTTTTGAACGTTACTTTAGACAGGCTATGTAACGCGTTAGCCAACTTGAGAGCTAACTAGCGTTTGCATTTTATTCCAATTTCATATGTGCACAGATCTCCACCTACCTTCCGACTGAGAAATTCCGGCACAAGCGATGCAGCAACTTTTTCAACTCGTACACACATAATTTGTCATAAACTACAAATTCCTACGCGAAAAATCTGCTAGCTAACCAGCTACCCTAAACAGTGTGATCTGTTTCTATGGTTACGGTGCATCGCTGGCTGGGCCAAATGAGGCTCCTTCTTCGATGATGTTTAACGGCGGTTGGCATCCAATAAATGTGGCATTACCGCCACCTACTAGAATGGAGTATAACTCCCTTAAACGTTGCTTTAATAATAATAATAAAATAAAATAATAATACAAAAATAAAATAATAATAATAATAATAATACCGTACCATCTAACACTAAACTCACAAAACAAAACACAATTACCATACTCCACTATTTAAATCTATTTAGTCCTACTTTCAGGCCAACAGCCTGAAAGGATGGGACACCGCCACTTAACACACCCTGTAACTCTTCTGATGTCAAGTCTCGCACACCCAAATACCTCTTTGCAGCTGCCACCACAACCTCTATTTTCTGCGACTTACGTTCCATCCCTGCAGTACAGTTGATAACCATTGCTATAAATGTCAAAAATCCAATCTTACTGAAACATATATCACTTGTTGGTTTATCCCACTGTACTGGTACAGATCTACTACTCACACCACTCCTCTCAGGATCCCTCCCCCTTGACCCATCTTCCTTTACTTTCTTCACTGCCTCAGCATATGACAACTTCTGCACTACTCTAACCCTGGAAACCTCAACCTGCCTCTCTCGCATGGGACATTTCTGATCCCCAGCCCCATGGCCACCCCTACAATTAACATATACCACTACTTTCCCCAATGCTACACTTTCCTTTGACTCATGCCCTTCTGCACTCTTCTCACACCTAGGAAACTCCCTCCTACACACTGCTGCCACATGCCCATAAGCTTGACACCTGTAACAACGTAATGTATTCGGCACAAAAGCTCTTACAGGATAACTTATATATCCTAACATCACTTTGTTGGGCAAAGACTCAACATCAAAACTAAAAAGAACAGACAATGACTCATCTGTTTCTCCACTCACGCCACCCTGTCTGCGTCACACCAAACGACGAGCATCACAAATACCGGGAATCTTCCCCTTCAGTTGGTCAGCTTTCACATTTACCGCTACCCCAGTAATCACTCCTTTCAATGGCACCCTTTTCTTGAGAGCAAAACAATTCACATCTCTTGCCCCCATTCGTTTAACATGGAGCGCCTGCTCCCTCTGACTAGCAGAAACACAAACAATTATCACAAGACCACTTCTGGTTACCCTCACCGATTCCACAGCACCCAACTCTGTTTTCATCCACCCTGAAACCACAAATGGATCAGCCAAAAGGCAAAGGTCCACTTTTTCCAAATACATCACTCCTACTGTCACAGACTCATCTTTATCCTGACCCTCAGTGCAAACCTCGAGCTCCGAGAACTTCACCACACCTACCACCTCCGATACTTCGCCCTCATTCACTTCCATTTCTCCTCCTGTCTTCAACTCACTCTGATTACACTTTCTACCATTCTTCTTTAACAAACCATCTCCCTTTTTCCCGCCATTTTTAACCGACTCAAGCTCACCCTCTTCCTCCCTCTCTCTCTTAGACCCCTTCTGCCTCTCTTTTTCCCTCCTCCAAATGAGGCTGGCTTTGTCATAGTTTTTAAAACTTTTTGATAGAATGGTGAAATATAGCAAAAACCCTGGTAGGCCTATGTTTATGTTGTCAAAAGCAGCTAGGTTTATGTTTTTTTTCTTTTTTCTACAACTTGAATGGAATTATTTGCTTCTCCATAGAAGAATACATCAATAAATGGGAGTTCAATGGGAGGAATAGAATAGTTTAGTTTATTAGGATTGCTACGTTCCCCAGCAAATAATGTTGCTCAAATAAAAAGGGGAACTAACAAAGTGTCACTGACAACAACCAAAACGAAACAGGTGGGGTTTTAGGAGGGGTTCTGAAAGACACTCATGAGATGTCCACTGAAAGTTGTCTAGCAACAACTGGGACCTAAAGGACACCAACCACAAGCGCCCACTAAATTTGCCCAAGAACAGGCAAACAAAATAAAAACCTACACCAAACTTAAAGACAGGAAGCAAACCAAAAAGTTGAGCAAAATGAAAACAGGGAAGATCATATCAAGGATTGTTTGTCTAGAAATCAAAATAGGGAGAGACAACTAAAGGTGTTGACTCGCCACATCTCTAAAGACAACTGGAGCACTAGGCCAGCCACTCTTAAATAGCACCTGGGCCAGCACAGGTGAAACACCTTCCCACTAACGAGATGGCAAACAGCACATGTTTTATACATACTGACCAAAGAGGTGACACCAATTGGCAGATGTTCGATGTACTGATTCCATGGCACATGGTTTATGAACTGATACGCAAAATGACGCCGGATCCAAAACTTAAATTTTTTCAATTTAAATTAGTATACGAAATTCTTGCAACCAATACAATGTTATATACTGTATATGGGGGCTACAACCATCCCAGCTCTGCAGGTCTGGAGGCCTTCATAGAACGATTGGGGGACACGGTCAGCCTCACCTCCGGGTACCGTCCCCAATCAAATGGGCGGGTGGAAAGGGTAAATCAGGTACTGGGTAGGTACCTTCGTAGTTACTGTCAGGACCGGCCGGGGGAGTGGGCTGCGTTTCTGCCTTGGGCAGAATACGCACAAAACTACCTCCGTCACTTCTCCACTAACGTCACACCCTTTCAGTGTGTTCTAGGCTATCACCACGATTGACAGGTGGGTCATTCCACAATCCACAGCATTATTGAAACAACCGATTCAAAAGATTACAACATATTACTACGTAAAGTGCTTTGAGCATCTGGTAAAGCACTATATAAATCAAATCAATGATCATTATTATTAGTGTCTCCAATTATGTGAGAGAGGAAAACATGTTAGTGACTTTCAGTCCTCTCTCTCTATCCCTCTCTCCAGTATGGGCCACACTTGTGTTCACTGTTTTGACCGTTGCCCGGATCGTCACAGGTCAGTAAGCTAGAACCTATTTCTGACTAGACATGCATTTACAGTAGAAACCCCTGTTTCAATCCTGTTACCTCTATTACCACCTAAAGTTCTTATTTCCATACATACTGTAAGTGTCATGTACAAAAACGATTTCCCCCAGCAGCCTTACATCCTCAACTCCCTGCTAGGGATGGACATGTTCAACCTGATCATGACAACATGGCTGTCGTTCCCCTGGGACCAAGAGAGGAGGGGGTCGCAGCAGACCCCCAAGACCTGTATCTGTGGCTCACTGAAAATCTTGTTGGGTTTGTCAGTGTTCTGTTGGATCATTGCTGGTGAGAGAAAGTAGTGCTGTGATGAGATGTAGAAACATGAACACAAAGTAGAGGGCAAAGACTGAAATTGTTTCGTTTCGTTTCGTTATTAACACATTTAAATACACATTTCAGTTACACACAAAATGTAATACACAAAAAAACTATATGTTTTCAGGCCTATATATTTTCAATATACGAATTGAAAACATTGTATTGTTTATCACCTCTGTCGACTTTGTCTGCAGGAATTGTGTGGATCTTGTCTATATACCAACCTAACTATGACTCGGACCGCTCAGATGGCCAGTACTGTGACAAGACCCTGTACACGTTTGCCTTCTGGAACGCAGTGTTTGAGACCTTGGTGTTTGGAGCAATGCTAGCCGACAGCTGCAAAGGTGTCTTCTGTGGCATACTGTTGAATGGGCCACCACAGCCAGACAGAGACTTCCACAGGAACGTCTGAAGGAGTGATGGAACAAGGGATGTCTATTCTCCTCTTGTCTTTTTAGCTTCACCATCAATTTGTAAAAGCAGTACATTTTACTCATCTACAGTGCTATGAAAAAGTATTTGCCCCCTTTCTAATTTTCTCTACTTTTGCATATTTGTGATACTGAATGTTATCAGATCTTCAACCAAAACCTAATATTAGAAGGGAACATAAGTGAACAAATAACACAATAATTACATATTTATTTCATTTATTTCATAAACAAAGTTATGCAACACCCAATTCCCCTGTGTGAAAAACCATCACACCACCACCACCATGCTTGACCTTTGGTATGATGTTCTTACTGTGGAATGCAGAGTTTGGTTTTCGCCAGGCATTACTGGAACCATGTCGTCCAAAAAGTTATACTTTTGAATCATCTGTCCATAGAACGTTCTTCCAAGAGTCTTGATGATCATCCAGGTGCTTTTTGGCAAACTTGAGTCAACATTTTGGACGAGATGGGTCCCATTATGTCTGGCGAAAACCAAACACTGCATTCCACAGTAAGAACATCATACCAAAGGTCAAGCATGGTGGTGGTGGTGTGATGGTTTGGGGATGCGTTGCTGCCTCAGGACCTGGACGACTTGCCTTAATAGAAGGAACCATGAATTCTGCTCTGTATCAGATAATTCTACAGGAGAATGTCAGACCATCTGTCTGTGAGCTGAAGCTGAAGCGCAGCTGGGTCATGCAGCAAGACAATGATCCGAAACACACAATCAAGTCTACATGAAAATTGCTAAAAAGCAACAAATTGGACGTTTTGGAATGGCCTAGTCAAAGTCCAGACCTAATCCCAATTGAGATGTTGTGGCAGGACTTGAAACGAGCAGTTCATTCTTGAAAACCCACACGTCACTGAGTTAAAGCAGTTCTGCATGGAAGAGTGGGCCAAAATTCCTCCACAGCAACGTGAGAGACTGATCAACAACTACAGAAAGCATTTGGTTGGAGTCATTGCAGCTAAAGGTGGCACAACCAGTTATTGAGTGTAAGGGGGGAATTACTTTTTCACACAGGGGAATTGGGTGTTGCATAACTTTGTTTATGAAATAAATATGTAATTGTTGTGTTATTTGTTCACTTATGTCCCTTTATCTAATATTAGGTTTTGGTTGAAGATCTGATAACATTCAGTATCACAAATATGCAAAAGTAGAGTAAATTAGAAAGGGGGAAAATACTTTTTCATAGCACTGTATGATTATGGTTTAAAAAATCTGTTTTTTATATCTATTTTTCTCTTGCATACATACTCTACAATAGATTCTGTTCATATATAACTTTTTCATTTTTTGTGATAAAGAAAACAATTACATGCAAAGTTGTTGCAGATGAACATCATTTTCTTTATAAAAACATGTCATATTGTATTATATCAAGAAATATATAATGTTATATACAGTAGGCTACGTGAGAATCATATATATATGATTCTTACGTAGCTGTTGATCAATGTACATCAAAAGATATGCACCATGAAAAAGGTGCAACTGAACATAGGAACTCTCTTACAACATTGTAATAAACTACAAATGCCTTATAATAGAATATAATCGAATGGAATATGTAGAAATCCTCCTCTCCATCCATCCATCCCTCCCTCCATACATTTACATTACTGTAATTAATGTTAAAAGAAAATGATAGAACAGTTGCACAGAGACTGGTATTTAGCACATTTTATTAAAACTTTTAATAAACATATCACAAATATTCATGCTAGCCTAAAACCAATTGTGTCACTATATTTCAAACCATACAACAGTGTCCAAGACAACTATATAAATTTGAATTTCCTGTAGAGTTGTACTTTAGCTCAACATGGGAAAAAACTTTGGGGATATGAAAAACCTTTTTAGATAAAAAATCCTAAACAGATAATTATTTTGATTAGTAACCAATGTTTCAGATAGATTGTGCATACTGCTGTATCTATTTCACAGGGATTTCAAAAGGCTTTAAATTGGGTTGCACCATATTCTCAAATGGAACTTTCTGAAATTTGACCTTTGAAGGGACATTTTCCCAGATGCACAGGCGTTATGATCTATGATATGATCACAAAATCAATCTGAATATCATTCATGACAGCAATCACTCATGGGACCAATATGTGATTTGGCACAGATTTCATCCTAAACATAATACTGAAAGGGATGAATTATGAATGACGTAAACAACATGATCTTGCACTTTTCATTTTGTGTGTATCCCTAGAAGGAATGGCTAGCATACTGCTGTTTCCTCCTCTTTTTGGCCCTACCATGAGATAGGAAGTTTTACAAAAGGAGTGAGAGAGACAGGAAAAGTTCCAGAAAAAGGAGAGCATCAGTAGTCCTCAGCTGGAAGAGAGAAACAGAAAAGGGAGGTGGTTACCCATGGATGAAGCAGCTGAACCAAGCCAATGAGGAAGAGGAGCATGCGATCCCATCCAATCATAGGAAGAGGAGCATGCGATCCCATCCAATCATAGGAAGATCAGAAAACCAAAACAGTAAGTGGTATCATGCAGGCATGCAGTGACAGTCAGACGGACAATTGCTTACTTTCTATCGTTAGGATACAGGTGCTGGCAGCGGTGCCTCTGCTGTTGACAGCTTTGCACATATACTCTCCCTCATCCTCGGGGAAGGTCTCTGGCAGGTAGAGGCAGAATGTCTCCCCTCTCTCTATGTACTGATAGTCCTCACAGTCCTGGAGCGTCTCGCCCTCAAACCACCAGGTCACCTCCGGCTTGGGCTCTCCAGTGATCTTCACCGTGAACCGCACTGGCTCGGCATCCACCACCGATTGGTTCTTCAGGGGCTTCTTAAACCACGGAGCCCCCGACCTGGCGTGGTCTTCCTCATCCTCATAGGCTGCCGAGCCATTGATGATGCTTCCCTCTTCCTCCTCCTCATCTTCCCTTTTCTGCCAAAGACACGACACATTATATCACATTTGAGATTTTTGGAACCCCTCCCCGATTACCACTTCAGGCTGAACTGAACTGAACTGTCATGCTTTTTGAGAATGTCATGCGTGTCAAGGATGCCCACAGTTTAACAACGAGAAACTCGATGATTGATCCCGGTGAAAGAGGGATTTACTTTTTGGAGAGCGGCGTCAATCTCTTGCTGCTCGAACTGCATCCTCTGCAGCTTCTGTTCCTCCACCCTCTTCCTCTCCTCCTCCTCTCTGGCTTTGGCCATTTGTTCGAACCGTGCGCGCATGTCCACCTTCTGTCTGAACGGAGCCTCCTCAGCCCCCTTCTCTGTGTCCTTTTTGCCTTCATCATCCTCCTGAAAAAACAGCCCTCAGAGTAAGTGATTTCAGAACAACATGATACAGACCAACACGTTGGAGTTCCAAAGCGATTCTGAAGGATCATGCTCAAATATATACCTCCTGGATCCGCTCTTCTTCCCTCTCTTTGATTTCCTCGTCTACGGCCTTTCTCTTTGCTCTCACGTCCTCAATCTTTTTCTGGATCTCCTCGTCTTTCAACTGCTTGATCTTCTCAAACTTGGACTTGAGGTTTTTGGCCTGGATGGAGCCGGTCCTCTTGAGTTTCTTCAGCTCCTCATACTCCTTACTCACTGTATCAGAGCTCTCATTCACCTCATCCTTTGGAAAGAAGCACATTGAACTGATTAGTGATGAGGATACATTCACAACAGAAGCGTACAGTGAGCTCCAAAAGTATTGGGACAGTGACATGTTGTTTTTATATTGGCTCTGTACTCCAGCACTTTGGATTTGAAATGATACAATGACTATGAGGTCAGTGCAGACTGTCTTTAATTTGAGGGTATTTACATCCATATTGGGTGAACCATTTAGAAATTACAGCACCTTTTGTACATTTTAGAGGACCAAAAGTATTGGGACAAATTCACCAATACGTGTATTAAAGTAGTCAAAACTTTAGTATTTGGTCCCATATTCCTAGCACGCAATAATTACATTTAGCTCGTGACTCTACAAACTTGTTGGATTCATTTGCTGTTTGTTTTGGTTGTTTTCCAGATTATTTTGTGCCCAATGGAAATTAATGGTAAATAATGTATTGTGTCATTTTGGAGTCACTTTTATTGTTAATACGTTTCTAAACATTTATACATTAATGTGAATGCTACCATGATTACGGAAAGTCACAAGCTTGTGGTAATCATTGCTGCCAGGAATATGGGACCAAATACTACACTTTTGACTACTTTAATACACTTATAAGTGAATTTGTCCCAATAGTTTTGGTCCCTAAGATGGGGGGACTATGTACAAAAAGTGCTGTACTTTCTAAAGCTGATAGTCAACACTTTAACCTCATTTTATCATTTAAAATCCAAATAGCTGGAGTACAGAGCCAAAACAACAACAAAAAATGTCACTGTCCCAATACTTTTGGAGCTCACTGTAGGTCTCATGGTTTAAACTGGGGCCGTACGTACCAAGCGTCTCAGAGTAGGAGGGCTGATCTAGGATCAGGTTCTCCCCTGTCCATGTAAACGTATTCATTTTGATCTAAAAGGCTAAACTGATCCTAAATCAGCACTCCTACTCTGAGACGCTTGATAAATACGGCCCCTGATTCTCCTCGTCTTGTCATCAATCTCTGCAGTTGGTAGTTCCATACCAATATCCATGAGACTTCCCATGTGGGTCTTAGTTAACAGCGTTGTGAGACTGATACCATGTTGATGACTGACCTCTCCCATCTCTTGCCTGAGCTGCTCAAACTCCTGTTTCTCCTGCTCCATTTTCTTTTTGCGCGCCTCCACCTTGCGCTTCCTATCGGCTTCCTCCTTCTGCTTCAGCAGCTCCTCGAAGTTCATCTCTAGTTTCCCAGGGTGCAATGCTTCCTGGGATTCACTCTTGACCATCCCTTCCTCTTCCTCGTCTAGCACCTGGCGGCACACAAACACAGAGCATGGTGTCATTTACAATCTCACTATAAACCAATCAGAATAGAAAATCACAAATGATCTTTAATCACAAATCGATCATCATATCAGCTTCCAATAACAATTTAATCCACCGGTTTAACCCTCCCAGAATGAATCACAAACAGTGAAGCATCCAATGAAAAGCAAAGCTAAAGCAACATAATTACATTGAACAGCAAAGCTAAAGGAACCAAATCACATTGATCTTCTCATCAGATACTGTAAAAAGCCCTAGAACGTCATTGTAGAATCAGTCCAAGTAACCAGGACACTATTACACACTGATGGGGAGCCACTTTTAAGCAAGCCAGCAGTGTTAGTATGCCTACTGAATATCCCATTCATACAGTCCATTCACATCCATTCGTAACCTTTGACTTACAATAAGAACTTACAGTATTAGCAGTTCATGGGAAACACTGTGTTATTTCTTCTTAGTCAGTGTACAAACACAATTGTCATTTGAAAGTGAAAATATCTTACTTCTCCATCTCGATATGAAGTCTTAGATTTTTCCCGATCCAGGGGGCTCTTTAAGAAGATAATTTGAAAGTAGGAACAGCAATTGCAAGTGTACCGTTTCAGTAACGTTACATCATCATGTAAGATTAATCCATCTCCAATTAGAGACCAATTAGAGATTGAGTTCTTATATTAAATATAGGCTACCTCAAATGTTAATATTGTGGTTAGTTTTCAGTAGATTATAGCAACATTGGTCACACTTTAAATGAACTATAACTTTAAATGAACTATAAGAACTATGGAGTCATAATAAAGCACTTCATAAGGCCTACACAAATCATTTATAAACAACTGTAATTTGTAGTTCGTTTAAAGTGTGAGCATTACATTGGATATGTGCTCAGATGACATGGATCAAGTTGAGTGCAAAATATCACACAGCATGAGAAACTGAAGGTATTCGTCTGTGACATACACACACAAAACAAGTTATAAAACGTAACTCACTATGGCTCTAAATCATGATGAAAAAACAGGAATAAACGATTAATCAAAATCATTTCAATCTTTTCACATGCTCCTTCTGAACGTAGCCTACTATAACCTACATGTTAGCGCAGGGCTTCATAAGCCACATGCTGGTGCTGCCTGCAGAGGTATTTTCATAGAGATCCTATAATTCACAAATGTATTGTTTTATGCCATAGTTATTCCATATTTGATCAGTTTCTAAAATAAAATGTTTTCCTGACAAGATGGCAAATTTTTCGTAATTTGCTAAGATGCCAAATTCCACTAGTGAATTGCAGGATCTCTATGGGTATGTTACCCAGTCCTACCATATTCTTGCGGGCCTCTGCGAAGAGCCTCTTCTCCTCCTCCAGCCTCCTCTTGGCCTCCTCCTCTGCTTTCTTCTCCTCCGCCTCTCTCCTCTGACGCTCCTTGTCTTCGAAGCTGATGCACAGCTTCCCTGGCTTGCTGCCCTCCAGGTTCAGCATGGCCAGCAACAACTCATCGTCATCATCCACTATCTGGAGAAGGGGACAACAACGAAAGAGCTCAAACTAGTGTCTGACATCTCGGTGGGATCAGTGTGAAAAGGAACTCTAAACACAATGACCAGGCTAGGGGCTTAGCCTGGTCCCACATCAGTTTGTGCTGTATAGCCATCTCCTATGGCCGTTTGACATGGCAATGACCAAAGGAGTTGGCAAGACAGCACAAACAGATCTGGGACCAGGTGAAGTGACCATCACATTACTTTCACTGACCATGCTTTTCCTGGCCTCGGCAAAAGCCCTCCTCTCCTCTTCCATTCGTCTCTTGTACTCCGCCTCTGCTGCCTTACGCTCATTCTCTACCCTCTGTTTCTCAAGCTCCTCGAAGCTCAGCCTTAGTTTACCCGGCTGGATCACCTCTCTCTCGCCCTGAGCTCCTTGTGAGTCCTCCTCATCTTCGCTCTGCAAGTACATAAAGTTCCAAAGTCACACAAGGCACAAGGCTGGGAAGTATAGCTCAGTTGGTTAGAACACAGTGCTAACAACATCGCAGGTTCAATCCGGGGAGAGCCTCAAAGCACCTTATCAAAGCTTGATTGTACATAGCGCTAAATAAATGCTACTGTTAAGAATGCATTGTGTTTAATACGTTTTATGTTTTTTTGTGTTTTTGTTGTTGTTATTATTATTATCATATTTACGAAATTATGTTCACCTTTATGACAACATTGTACACACCAACAGCGCTGACGGATTGAGTATACTTCTTTAAAAGTCTTATCAAGAAGACCTAAAGATGGCACAAGCCAACTTGCCACTTCAAAAGCACAACAGAAAAGCACTGCAGGATGTATGAAGGGGATATGCAGGGTTGGTACAGAATGGCCACTCAGATAATTTACCTCTAGGATTTATCTAGCACGTCGGAAATTTCTCAGCTCTCACAAGGAAAGAACAGGACATTGAAACGTGATGTGCCAATAAGCTAATAAGAAATGTGCTAATCATGTTTTCTAAGATCAGTCACCATTTCCAGCTTGGCCACCTCGAAGGCTTTCTTCTCCTCTTGCAGACGTTGTTTAGCTTCTCTCTCAGCCTGCTTCCTCAGCCTTTCCTGCCTCTCCTTCTCCGCCTCCTCAAACGTCATCTTCAGCTTCCCAGGAATCACCTGTTCCTTCTCTGTGGGTTGCTCCTCATCCTCATCCTGCGTTGACAAAGACAGTCTACATTAGAGACCACCATATCCACATGAAGTATTGACACAGACAGACTAGAACGGCTGTCATGAAAGATGAGATTTTCCTAGTTTCTGAGAAACACCTAAGCTGTTTCTTTGTCCTGACAAAGCTACTTCTCTGTGGGCTGCTCCTCATCCTACTTTGATATAAACAATCTACACTTAGACCCCCATATTACCACAAAGTATTGACACAGACAAAATAGAATAGCTTTCATGAAAGATTTTCCTTAAAACACCTAAGCTTTTTTTTGTCCTGTCAAAGCTTCTCTGTCGGCTGACATAAACAATCTACACTTAGACTGCCATATTCCCATGAAGTATTGTATTGAAGTATTGACACAGATTGACACGGATATAATGGCTTTCATTAAATATTCGATATTCCTAGATTTCCTCCTAAAACAGCTATGCTGCCAGTCCTGCCAAAGCCTATCGTAGAGGTTCTACTCAGCACACCTGTACGACCGAGCGCCGCTTGGCCTCGCGGAAGGAGTGCCTGTTCTCATCGTAGCGCTTCTTCTTCTCCTCCTCCGTCCTCCTCTTCAGCTCCTCCTCACGGTTCTTCTCCAGGTCCTCAAAGTTCATCTTGATCCTGCCTGGAGGTCGTGATGACTTTGCCGGCACCACGCGGACCAGGATGGTGTCATCTCCCTCCTGACATAAGTGGACAAAAGCCATTGTGAGAAAAGGAAATTACATTTAACATGAGATAAGATACAATAAAACAGTAGTATATTAATTCCCAAAGGGGGTTTAGCACATAAAACATCAGCAACACAAACCATTTCCTGGTCTGTGAACTTGACAAATGCTGAAGTAGTTGTGTATAATCAAGTAATGGACTTAAGCTATGTTATACATTATGAAATTATTAGTTGAGAGACCTGCCTGTGTTATGTCAAAATAGAAAGAAAAATCCCCACCAACAAAACACACACACACAAACACACACACACACACACACACACACACACACACACACACACACACACACACACACAGAGAGAGAGAGAGAAGCTAACAGCCCATAAAAGAGAACATTCTTTCGACCTAATGGCCACCATTTGCAGTGGGTCAGTCTGTGAATGTCAGACCTAAAATAGGAGTGTGTGTGGGGGGGTGGGGGGGTGCAACAGTGGCTAATTTAGTCAGTGGTGTGGGAAACAGTTGCCAGTCACATGTTGTCTACACCTGGCAGTGTCTGTGCCTCAAGCAGCAGCAGAGCTTGAAAGCACGGTGGCCCAATTGTTTCTAGCTCACTCGGTCAGTACTGGCTCAGATTAAAGCTACCTCCCACGCTCAATAAAGACTTCGTCAAGTTTTTCCTAACTACTATAAAGTATAGGTACATGCAGTAGGTTGCAGTGAAAGGAGACAATGAAGATTGAAGTCTATGTAGCTTTCACCATGTTCAAGAAACAAATTCCTGTAGGTCTACTGGAGTAGAAATAAGATCAACAATGATTGTACAGTAAGCACTGAATACAAGCATTAGGCATAATGCTTCCTAGTGTGTTGTCACTTGTTGACATCTACCACATTATCGTACAGTGAGGGAAAAAAGTATTTGATCCCCTGCTGATTTTGTACGTTTGCCCACTGACAAAGAAATGATCAGTCTATAATTTTAATGGTAGGTTTATTTGAACAGTGAGAGACAGAATAACAACAACAAAAATCCAGAAAAACACATGTCAAAAATGTTATAAATTGATTTGCATTTTAATGAGGGAAATAAGTATTTGACCCCCTCTCAATCAGAAAGATTTCTGGCTCCCAGGTGTCTTTTATACAGGTAACGAGCTGAGATTAGGAGCACACTCTTAAAGGGAGTGCTCCTCTTCTCAGCTTGTTACCTGTATAAAAGACACCTGTCCACAGAAGCAATCAATCAATCAAATTCCAAACTCTCCACCATGGCCAAGACCAAAGAGCCCTCAAAGGATGTCAGGGACAAGATTGTAGACAAGGCTGGAATGGGCTACAAGACCATCGTCAAGGAGCTTGGTGAGAAGGTGACAACAGTTGGTGCGATTATTCGCAAATGGAAGAAACACAAAAGAACTGTCAATCTCCCTTGGCCTGGGGCTCCATGCAAGATCTCACCTTGTGGAGTTGCAATGATCATGAGAACGGTGAGGAATCAGCCCAGAACTACACGGGAGGATCTTGTCAATGATCTCAAGGCAGTTGGGACCAAAGTCACCAAGAAAACAATTGGTAACACACTACGCCGTGAAGGACTGAAATCCTGCAGTGCCCGCAAGGTCCCCCTTCTCAAGAAAGCACATATACATGCCCGTCTGAAGTTTGCCAATGAACATCTGAATGATTCAGAGGAGAACTGGGTGAAAGTGTTGTGGTCAGATGAGACCAAAATCGAGCTCTTTGGCATCAACTCAACTCACCGTGTTTGGAGGAGGAGGAATGCTGCCTATGACCCAAGTACACCATCCCCACCGTCAAACATGGAGGTGGAAACATTATGCTTTGGGGGTGTTTTTCTGCTAAGGGGACAGGACAACTTCACCGCATCAAAGGGATGATGGACGGGGCCATGTACCGTCAAATCTTGGGTGAGAACCTCCTTCCCTCAGCCAGGGCATTGAAAATGGGTCATGGATGGGTATTCCAGCATGACAATGACCCAAAACACACGGCAAAGGCAACAAAGGAGTGGCTCAAGAAGAAGCACATTAAGGTCCTGGAGTGGCCTAGCCAGTCTCCAGACCTTAATCCCATAGAAAATCTGTGGAGGGAGCTGAAGGTTCGAGTTGCCAAATGTCAGCCTCGAAACCTTAATGACTTGGAGAAGATCTGCAAAGAGGAGTGGGACAAAATCCCTCCTGAGATGTGTGCAAACCTGGTGGCCAACTACAAGAAACATCTGACCTCTGTGATTGCCAACAAGGGTTTTGCCACCAAGTACTAAGTAATGTTTTGCAGAGGGGTCAAATACTTATTTCCCTCATTAAAATGCAAATCAATTCATAACATTTTTGACATGCGTTTTTCTGGATTTTTGTTGTTGTTATTCTGTCTCTCACTGTTCAAATAAACCTACCATTAAAATTATAGACTGATCATGTCTTTGTTAGTGGGAAAACGTACAAAATCAGCAGGGGATGAAATACTTTTTTCCCTCACTGTAGGTCAACAACAATTTTGTGAACTGGCTTCGGTCCAGTTTGGCATGGCTACAGCTACAGCTAGCGTTAATTCATAAAGCGTCAATGCAACCAGCGCTGAATGCTTTCGAAGCAGCTATTTTGTTTGTGATCCATTCTAAGGATACTAAAGCCACTACCTGATGACTAGTGAGGGAAACCTTGTTCAACTTGACAGATACACCCAAAATTCATAGCATATGACCTGAATATGTGCTCTCAGAGCTGCTGTGGCTCGCAGCTCCACTGGACTCCACTGCAGGATTTCCCTTCAACCTGCATCAACTGGTAGCCTTTCAAATGGCACTTAAAATAACTCATCTGGGTGGCAGCTGAGGATTACCTGGCTGATTACACATAGATGGAGGCCAGTCCCTCAATAGAGGCAGCGACTGAGCAATCCAGCCCTACTGTCCCACTTCCCCTATAAGTTACACTACAGTATACCTGTCCCAAGGAAGGAATCCCGCAAGCTTACCTCTGCGGCTTTCTTGGCCAGCTCCTTCTGCATCTTCGCTTTCTCCATGATGTCCTGGGTGGCGCGCTTCTTCCTCTCCTCCTCCATCCTCTTCCTCTCATCCTCCTGTCTCTGCTTCTCCATCTCAGCAAACTTCCCCTTCACGCTACCTATAGAGTGTAGACCCCACATGTTGATGATGATGAAGATGAGACCACGGCACAAACAACAGGGTTGTGTTCATTAGGCATGCAACGCTTTAAAACGTTTTGCAACTGGAATTGAAAATGAGCGTTCCTTATCAGATAAGTCCAGGTAGTCCCTCCCTGTTTTAGTCCATATCCTTCAGTTTGTTGCCTAATGAATTCGACCCAGGGGTGAGTTGATAATTAGAACCAAGCCCTCCTCCTCAACCCTCTCCCAGCCCACCTGCCCCCCTCCACACCCTCAACAATACCCCCATTTCCTACCTGTGATCTTGGGGACGTAGGATTTCTCTATCTTGGCCGGCTTCACCTCCTCCTCCTCATCACTGGAGGCGAGTAGTTCTTTTATCTGTGGTGGACCAGAGGGAGAGCTTTGCTGAGAGGTTACCGGTTTATCTGGGATAATCTGCTTTGCACGCTGGCCACCTCAGGAGCCATGCTGGTCCCAGCAAGTTCTCAAGGCCCTAATCCTGTGTAATTGCACATGCATGTGACCTGCAGGGAGGCCTCTGATTGGATCATGCGGTTGTGACATGGGGGGAGATCAACATGTAGGCATCCCGTCTCGGAGAGTTGGCTACGATAGTACAGGGCATTTTCTTCCCCCCTCCTGAGTATCAATGTGTTAATCCCTCGTATCAGACACTGTTTGTTTTACCACGATGCATCCTGTGATACAGCTTGTGATGAAGGACAACATACATAAAATAGACAATTGATTTAGTATGTTATCATTAATCCCCATGTTTTAAGGAAAATTGCCTTAGATGGATAGAAGCACAAACCAAACACAACTATAAGGTATTTCAATCAAATCAAAAATGTCTCTGTACAAAGTGATGTGATGATGTTTTAAGTTCTCCAGTACACCCACACTGCTGTTGTTGAGGCTAGTGCTCCATGCCATGCAGGTCACAGTTAGTTGGGGTTATCTCTGTCTTGTTTGACCTCCGACCTGTTGCTTCCTGCGGTTGTATTCCCTCTCCTTGACATACTGCTCCTTCCTCTTTTGGTGCTCCTCCTGGCTCCTCCTACTGTTGCGCTCCTCCCTAGCCTTCTGCATGGCCTCAAACTTGTTCTTCACATCAGCCTTACCAATCTGGGGCACGTAGCTCCTGGCCACCGGCTTTTTGGAGCGCAGGAGTCTCTGGAGAAAGATGAAGATGCAAGTGTTAATGTAAAATGTTGTAAAGGATTGGGAGTGTGCTAATGGAAAGATTCATAGGAGTGAGATCCATAGGGCTGAGAGTCTCAGAACTCAAACACGTTTTCAATAGTGCTATTCAGTTGAACGTTACAGAAACGTTATGAAAGATCTACAGGCAGTCACTCCCTAATGTAACATCAGTGATTGGCTCAACAATCTATTATATTTCATATTGAACAGAAGTAAACCTTATTGTAAGATAATACATCAACACCAACGGGATAAACTCAAAGGATATGGCCGTGCCTCACCTCTTGTTTCAGTGCCACTTCAGATATGTTCTGTAACTGGTCTTTCTCTTCTTTCTCTTTTTCATTGTCCGTGTCATGAGCCACACCATTTTGTGCCACATCATTCTTGTCCTTCCTCGATCTTGATCTTTGCATTGGCTTGTCCTTTGCCGTTTCATTTTCTTTGTGCTCCATCTCATTCATGTTGTGTGGCTCATCTTCCTCATCCTCCTCAGGCTCTGTGTGAACCTCGTCCTCTTCGGTGTGAACCTCTTCCTCATTCTCGCTATGTGCCTCATCATGCTCGTCGTGTGCGGCATCGTCCTCTTTGTGTGCCACAAGCCCGTGCCACTCGGTTGCGACGTCGTCGTGTGCTTTATCATTCATATCGTGTGCCTTGTCACTCATGTCGTGTGCCACATTGTTCATGTCATGTGCCACATCAGTCATGTCGTATTCGACATCAGCAACATTCTGTGCCACCTCAGTCATGTTTGCGCCACTCTGACAAATTGACAGGGCCCTCTTCAAATGTTACCTGTCAAAAAAAGAAAAGCACCATTACGGTATGGTACAATAACAACTTCTTTCTCTTCACATAATAATGTATTATTCATCATTTATATAATATAATAATAATAATAATAATAATAATAATAATAATAATATTAATAATAATATTAATTATTATTATTATATTATTATATTTATATCCCTTTAAAATGTTTATTAAGCTCCTCTGCCCCATATTCAAACTTCCTCCCCCAGAAAATGCAAGCTAAATTTAGTCTCATTCCTCTCAGCCATCATCAAAGACGTATTACGTAATGGTAAGACAGGTCTACCAATGATGAATTTCAGATTGAGCTGATTGAATGAACTATATTGAATACAACATTTAGGCAACAATTTTACCGGTAAACATTACGACTTGCCCTTTCTGAAATCTGGCGTGGTAAATGACTAGACCTATATGGACTTCAAGAATGTGTGTAACTTTGAATATCTGTAATTGTTTTACTACCCTACATATTACACTGTAAAGCACTTTGTGACAACTGCTGTAAAAGGGCTCTATAAAATACATTAGATTGATTAATTAATACCCTGCCTACACAATATCGCATTATAAATAAATAGAATTGCAGAGCATCTGAAGTCTTGCGATTGTCTGTTTGGGGAGAAGGGCACCTCATGGCTGCTGCAGTTTGGGGGAGGAAAGGAGTGCTCCTCGTCCTCCCCCTCCCCCTCCCCCTCCTCCCCCTGTATGCTGAGCCACAGCACAATGTGCAGGGTCAGAACGCTAAGTATAGCCCACTTGTGTGTCCAGGCCATGTGATGGCTATTTCTGATGAGTGATATGCGGTGGGACAGAGTTGGGTCGGCAGCCATATGTCGCCTTGACAAAACGGCCAGACTTAGTACCAGACAATCGGATAAGCAAGAGATGTTTGGGCCATAGAGTCATCAGACACTAAAACGGTTACTGTTTATCAGTGTGTTAGAAATCTAAGCTTGGCATCTGGCATGGCTGTACATTTTGAATCTGTTCTTATCAATTCAGTTGGTAATAATACTGAAGTAAACAGTCAGGGGTTTGCGGTTAACAAAGTACTTCAAAAAAAGAGATAGGCCAACAAATAAAATTTAATTGATTTGATTGATTCATGGATTGAAAGCTTGAAGGGTAGGCCTAAATGTACCAAATGTTGGCCAAATGTTGATTATAGGGGCCTACTAAACAGAGTATAATACATACTACTTTTTGTCAAAAGGACCACCTGTTGCAAATTTGACTTTGAGTTCAAGTTTAGATCGATTTCCCATTGCACACCTGATGAACAGCTGTGTTGGCACACATCACATCAACTACCTTGATTACGACAACTACTATGATGTTGATGGTATGGATTACCAGTCTGAGAGTAACAGGTAATTAACTGGATTCTACCAATATATGAATAACCCAAGGCTTCTTCCTAACATGTTATCTCGACCAATGTACCATTAGACTGGGATCAGTACATCTGTTACAGATGTGGATTTGGTCATCAGAATGCACTGCCCTCTTCAATCCAGCTGTGATAACCAGGCATGATAATAAAGGCGATAATTAATGTAAATGTTAAAAAATTATACCCTTTTTATCGCAAAATTGTCTCTGTGTATATTACAATTGGACACTAATCAAAATGATACAATATTGGGATGCAGTAAGCGAACACATTGCCCAAGTCACCATCTCTCTACAAAGAAGTTGTAGGCCTTTGCTGAAATACAAATACCATTTAAAAAATATAATTCCAGGCATTTTTATAGTATTGTTCAAGCACTTCTATATGGTATATACATTTAAGTAGCCTATTGTATCAATCATGACCTCATATGTAATAATTTAGAGTATTACATGTTGGCAAGAAGAAGTTATTACCCTAAAAATGATCTACAGTCTATTGCATTACCCTGACCTAGTTACACCCATGAATACTTTTCTTGACCCCACATTTCATGCAAGGATTTGCCTAGAATAACTTGAACTGCCATATCATAGTTAACCAATACATTTAGGCCTGGCAAGTGAAGTCCTATTTTGGTCTAACAGTATATACTCAGCTGCCACTAAATACCATGACAATGTGCTAGAAGAATCTGTGTGTTAAAATTAAAATAATCTGTGTTTTAAAAGAAGATCTGGATTTCTTTGACGTTTGGTCATGTTAGACCCTTTATGCTCATGTAGACTGACATTAAAAAGTCAGAGTACCAAACTAACAGAATATTTTATTTTACAGCTAAACAAAACAGATGTACATATTTTTGTTTATGTTTTTATACCCAACAGCTGAATGACAAAGCAAAGTCAACTAGGCCTAACTGAAACATTATACTTTCAATATTTCAACTTTTTGTATTACTGAATTATAGTTTGCCTAGTCTTCTGAATAGCATTATTTTCTCATTTACATTACAAATCTCAATTTAAAGATCAACAATTGAGGGGCAAATTTGAAACTCTCCCTAACAAGTGAATTTTAGCATCCACATAACACACATTATCTTCAATTAAAGTCTTTACCTGTTTCAGTGTAATATCCTCCTTGTCATAGGAATTTTCTGTACAAATAGTGGATCAAAACAAAAGTAATGTCAAGTGGAGAAATTCCAACTTGTCAAAGCACGGAGATGTGTGCGCCCCGTTCACTGTGAGACGACTCAAAGGCGAATGGGTGAGGTTACATATCGGTAACCAGCTTCAATAAAAGTAGGCCTTCCGCTACTTTTGCGGTCTACCACATTCCGCGCGCGCCAGCGCCAGGTTCAGCTGTCGCCTCAAATACGCATGGTCCTTTCTGTTCGCTCGACGCAGATACGGCTGCAGTTCTCTCAGCCAGTCTCCCCGACAGTGTTTTTATTTGTCAAATTATATATTCCCTGCCATTATAACAACATTTCGTGAGTTAATGAAGTCTACATTTAATAAACTATTTACCATTTGTTGGCATGTTTTCTTTCAGCAATTAGGCTACTATTAGTCCTAGGATTGCCCCCTTTCCACCAGAACAAAGAGATTGTCATTTTTTTTCTAACTGACTTACTATTTGAACATGTTTACCAGTGGAGGCTGTTGAGGGGAGGACGGCTCATAATAATGGCTGGAACAAAGCAAATGGAATGGCATCAACCCATGAGTTTAATGTATTTGATACCATTCAACTAATTCCACTCCAGCCATTACCACGAGCCCGCCCTCCCCAATTAAGGTGCCACCAACCTCCTGTGGTTTAGACATAAACATGTCTGAAACTTGCACAATACTGAACTCATTGTTAGGCCTATGTCAAGAATTTGACACATTCTGGTGCTGGTGTAGCTCAGTTGGTAGAGCATAGCACTTGCAACACTAGGGTTGTGGGTTCAATTCCCACAGGGTACCACTATAAAAATGTATGTACTCACTACTGTAAGTTGCTCTGGATAAGAGTGTCTGTTAAATATCAAAAATGTTAATGTAAAAATGGTTACACGAGAGATTGGCTCAAAATCATGATAGGTATGCCTACTTCTCAGAATGCGTTCCACTGTTCATTCCTAACTTTTATATGGATTCATAATCAGCTCAGGACGCAGCCTGGCAGGTAGCCTAGTAGTTAGAGTGTTGGGCCAGTAATCAAAAGGTTGCTGGTTCAAATACCTGAGCTGACACAGTAAAAAAGCTTGAGCAAGGTACTTAACCCTAATTTGCTCCAGGGTTGCCATACTACTATGTCTGATCCTGGAAAACAACACATTTCACTGCACCTATCTGCTTGTTGGCGTTGAGAGGCAGGGAGGCTTATCTGTTATGAGTGAAAGCAGGTTGCCTTGATTTTCCCCCTGCAGCCCAGCAATAACCCAGATATCACTGTCACTGTGCTATGCAATAACGGCTAGCTGCCTAGGCTACATATCAGTGTCTTAAGGGCCATACAATTACATTTACATTTTAGTCATTTAGCAGACGCTCTTATCCAGAGCGACTTACAGTTAGTGAATACATATTTTTTTATACTGGCCCCCTGTGGGAATCGAACCCACAACCCTGGCGTTGCAAACGCCATGCTCTATCAACTGAGCTATATCCCTGCCGACCATTCCCTCCCCTACCCTGGACGACGCTGGGCCAATTGTGCGCCGCCCATGAGTCTCCTGGTCGCGGCCGGCTGCGACAGAGCCTGGATACGAACCAGGATCTAGTGGCACAGTTAGCACTGCGATGCAGTGCCTTAGACCACTGCGCCACTCAGGAGTATAGGTTTAAAACAATAACAGGTTTACAGTCTTACTTTGTCAAACAATAACCCACATATTCCATATACAGTATCAGTCATTTAGGGTCAAGCATTTACCCATAGGCTATACCATACTGCAGGGTTCTTCAATTCCGGTCCTGGAGGGCCGAAACACTTCTGTTTTTTATTTCTACCTGGTAGTCAACTGCACTCACCTGGTGTCCCAGGTCTGAATTAGCCCCTGATTAGAAGGAGAGGATGAAAAACAGAGGTGTTTCGGCCCTCCAGGACCGGAATTGAAGAACCCTGCCATACTGTATGATAATACTAACCCCACTACTCCTCATAGTAGGCTGATGAGAAAGTAGTGTTCACCAAGGGCGAAATTGGGCTGTTGATATTGGTGGGGTGAACAGTAGCCGAGGGGTCCTCCCCCGGAATTGTTTTTGACATTTTTAAACGCATTTCCTGCAATTCTACACAGTTTGACATAACTTATTATGCTTATATTGAGGGGTTTTGAGGGGTATATGGAGGGGTATTTTGAAAACACAGTGTAAGTGGAAGGATACGTAGAAAAAAAACACTTAAAAACCCCCACCTCAAATCTCAACAGACTGTTTAAGAAATGCTTGCTATTTCCTCATAGAGGATGATATCAAATCAGATCAAATCAAAATCAAATCAAATTTTATCGTTACATGATTTGTAAACAACAGGTGTGGACTAACAGTGAAATGCATACTTCGAGAAATAATAGAAAATGTAAACACGTAATAATAAAAGTAATAATAGATACACAAGGAGTAACGATAACTTGGTTATATACAAGGGGTACCAGTACTGAGTCAATGTGCAGGGGTACAAGGTAATTTGCAGGGGTACAAGGTAGATATGTACATATAACTAGGAATAAAGTAACAGATAGTAAACAGTAGCAGCAGCGAATGTGATGAGGAGGATGAGCTGGCCAATCAGCGGTCTACTCGCATGAATATTTTTTATGACCGGTATACACCCACACCATTCTGTTGTTGGGGTACGCCCACACCATTCCAACACAGAAAAGCTGCTTTATATTATACTTAATTACCATTTTTTGGAAGGAAAACTATTTTACCCATATTGTAATTAATTATAGGTCATATTTCATAGAGGTCTGGAAACACTGGATAGTTACTTTAAAGGTCGACTTGGGTCAAAAACACAAAAAGAATGGCTTTAAACTGTATAACTGATCAATACACCATCATACCAGGTCATTTAATGCTTTAAAAAAAATGGATGAATAACATATTTGGGTACAGAAGTGCCATTTCTTACCGATCTCTACAGCTTCCGTCCAAAAATAAATCCTGTGAAATGATGTCAACACATACTGGAGGAGTTACTGGCTAGCTACAAGTGGCTAGCTTAGCTAACGAACTAGCTTCGTCCGTCACGGTGCGTATGACCAAAATGACACATCGATGAACCACCAAAGGCATACCTCATTTCTGTTTGAAAATTGAGAAAGAGTGAGAATGAGTTTTACTTTTTTTTGTTGCCCAAAGTCAGCCGTTAAAGCTAATTTCCTGCAATTCTAAACATTTTGCCATTGCTTATGATGCGTTGATATACTATCTTTTGGGGGGTTTTAAAGAAACTAATGGGGGGGACAAATCGACCTATTCTGAATATTGGGGGGGGGGGGGGGGGGGGGGGGGGTTGGCAATTTCGACCTATGGTGCTCACCATGGTGAAGGATGTAATAGAAACCCTGATTCAGACACATTTGTCAGCTCTTATCAGTCTCAATAATGGCAGTCTCACAGCTGCTGACTCACTGGCCAGTCTGGCCTCTTCTTCACACAGGGCATGGCTCTGGAAATCATTAGTAGCATGTTTGTGAGCAGTACACGGACCATGCACAGCAAGTAATGCTCAAAACAAGCACATCATGAATTGAAATTGGGCCTACAAACAAATTAGCATGATGGGAAGGAAACCAGTCAACCAGTGAAAAATACATGTTTTATCAAAAATGAATGTAATTCCTTTCTGGTCTAAATGCAGAGATGTGCATTACGTTCTTATAAGCAGTGATTTTATAGAGTTGTAGAATGGGAAGAAAACCCAATAACTCAGAGACATTGATGCCAATGTGGTCAGTCAATATGCAACATTACCCTCAGTTACTGAGATGGTTGGTGAGTGGACCGGTCTTTGGGAAAGCCTCCAGCATGCCAAGAGTCAACCCTCCAGCTAATGTCTGGAACTGAAACCTGAGAGCCAGACCATTATGCATCACTCAGCCAGACCAGCATGCATCACCAGTGCTACAGGTCATAGTCAGTGTAAGAGACACACAGTATTCGGCCTATACTGTAGACAATGTAAGATTTTAAATTGTTGATTTGACAGATAGGATACAGTGAGACTTTGCACAGGTTACAGAGAAGAACGACACTGGGGAGTTGTGGGGACTGTCTTCGACACATGTCCACTGAAGAAGTTATGCTTTCAAAGCTGGGGACTCACCAAATAGTGTTTCAAGAGCACGGATTACTATGATGTCAAAAAAGCAAAGGGTGCCAGTGTCATTCATACAGCTGCTCTCTAGTGTTCACCCCACCTCATCCATCCACCTCCTCTCTTGGTGCAGAGGGTAGTGTGGACGGTAGAGTCAGTTCCTTGAATCCCAAGGCTGAATGGCATTGGTCCCATCCAGAGACCCTCAAGCTATCGGGGACAACAAGGAGACTGCCTTAAATAGCCCCACAGCTGTGGGAACCAATCAAGTCTGGCGTCAGGTCGCTCGAGTCAGGCCATGCCTGAGCCTCAGCTGCTGTGGCACGGCCAAACACCCCTTTGACCAGCCTCAGAATGGTACGGCCCACACACTCCTCTGTCTGTCCAGCCCTGGAGTGGAACGTCTATGCTGGGTCAGGGGCACTGGTCAAGTGATGGCCGCTACTGTAATGATTAAATTCACTTTAATTGGTAAGTGTGATATAATATGATACCCCTGCCAAAAGGATACCCAAGCTAAAATATTACTGTATGTACCTCAAATTTCCCTTTAAAATGTTGTCTCACAAGATAGACCAATACATCAGGATGTCTATATGTGAAAACAACATAAGGGAGTTGTCTGTATTGATGAGTAGCTTGCCTATCTACAGTGAGGGAAAAAAGTATTTGATCCCCTGCTGATTTTGTACGTTTGCCCACTGACAAAGACATGATCAGTCTATAATTTTAATGGTAGGTTTATTTGAACAGTGAGAGACAGAATAACAACAACAAAAATCCAGAAAAACCCCATGTCAAAAATGTTATAAATTGATTTGCATTTTAATGAGGGAAATAAGTATTTGACCCCTCTGCAAAACATGACTTAGTACTTGGTGGCAAAACCCTTGTTGGTAATCACAGAGGTCAGACGTTTCTTGTAGTTGGCCACCAGGTTTGCACACATCTCAGGAGGGATTTTGTCCCACTCCTCTTTGCAGATCTTCTCCAAGTCATTAAGGTTTTGAGGCTGACTACATTATGGCCACTTAAAGGACTACAACATCCATGGGAAGGTGCTGTTTCATGGGCATGTCACCGAGTCCCAGCTGTGGTGTGTGTGAGCTCAGCTGCAGGGGGACTTGACAGGTGTAAGGCCACCATGACAGGTGTAGGTCTCTGGTCAAGTTGCTGCTAGCATAGAGAGAGCCTGCAGTTTGTCTGATACAGGAGATCACATTGGATTATGGCTATCATTTAACTATAAACCTTTCCAAGATTTTGTCTTTATTATTTTATTATTTGTTTGTGCATACATAGCCTTGTTATTTTAAACCATATTGAGACAGATAGATAGAGAGTGAGTGTGAGAGAGAGAGAGAGACTTCACTTGCTTTGGCAATGTTAACACACGTTTCCCATGCCAATAAAGCCCTTAAATTGAAATTGAATTGAATTGAGAGAGAGAGAGAGAGAGAGAGAGAGAGAGAGAGAGAGAGAGAGAGAGAGAGAGAGAGAGAGAGAGAGAGAGAGAGAGAGAGAGAGAGAGAGAGAGAGAGAGAGAGAGAGAGAGAGAGATTTTTTATATAATCAGAGACTAACACGAAAAATTGGAATTGAAGGTGATTTTTGAGAACCTTTTCTGCCATTACAGATCCTTCCAGACAAATCTTGCGCACATTTTTGAACAGGGCACAAGGGTGGAATCTGGTCCCAATGGTTTGCACGGTGGGACCAAAAAGACCTCTGTTTCCTCTAGGTGTCTCTGTAAGTAGATATAATGTCAGTGCTATCAGTTAACAGCCACTGGCTATATTTAGGCCCGTGACAAGTGAGACCTGGCTCGGTGACCAAGTGGCCAGCAGCAGAGCAGTTGACTCATCAATTACAAATAAATTTTTCCATGATCCACAGCTCTGATCTGGGTCAGTGATTGGCTCTGGTTTACTCATTTGAAAAGCGTGAGCAATTTTGGTAACCTGAGATTCTGTCGCAATCTTATATTGTAGACCATCTTTATTTTATTTATGTGCTGATATAATTCAGTAGACACTTGTCAACTGTAAACTCAATGACCAATACAGTGCAGTACTGTTATGCCAACATAGAAATCAGGTTCACCATTCATCAGTATACTGTGATTGGTACGTTTTCACACCATTCTCCAGTTTAAATAAATGCAAATCTTCTGTTCCATATTTGATCCATTCTCTTTGGAAATCTAAATATCAAAACAAATGTTGAGTTACTAATCTCCACATCTACGCCTCAGAATTGAGGGAAACAAGTGGAAGTTCTTGTTACCTACTACTGTAATTCACAATCCAAAACTTGAGTAACAGTCATCGCTGCCCCCTAGTGGTGATGGATAAAGTTGGCAGTGCACCTGTTTTTTTTTTTACATTTACATTTACATTTTTCATAGGGAAATTAATTATACAGTACATAGAAGGTAATACATTTCACAATAAAACACGATTATAACTTTTCTTATGTATTACTTTCAGGACAAAGAGCAAAGAGGCTCTATGATACAAATTAGAATAGAACATTGAACTGCATTTATTGTAATACCATTATCCTCTGTTTCAACAAAATCTCTGCAAAGCCAACCGTCTCACAGTCTTGGAGAGGGCACCATCTGTGGAGAGAAAGACATTCAGGTTAATACAATACAACATAAAGTCATCCACAATGTCAATGCAATCTATAATGCTTTAATACTCACAAATAGCTGTTATTTAGTCACAATCATTGTGAAATGATAATAAGATATTATAAGGGGGTCATACATACTTATGACAAGTTACAATGCATTACAACCGGATCATAATGTCTTCTAATGTCTTCAGGTGTTCCTGAATTAAATCTCAATTTTTGATTTTCTGAATCAACATGATTGAAATAGCCTTGATCCCCAACCCTGGTTATCAGGTCATAGTCTGGCTGTTACTTTGCATTGAGATGACTGACCTCTTTTTCCTCTGCTGGACCACCAGGGGCTTAGTGGGTGCCAACTGTGGAGGGGTCAGGTAGCATGTAGAGCTGGACTTCCAGGGGTGCGATGGAGGTAGGGGGGTGGTGGAGGAGAGCTGGGTGCCTGGGGTGATGGATCTCCCCCAGGGAGGAGATGACTTGGGAACGGACCGGCCAAGCCTGGTCCCACTGCAATGTACCAGACAGACAGACATAATCATCCTGCACATAACTTCTGTTCTCATAAAACTGAAGATCTAGGTTCCCCCACATAAACCACATAATAGACAAATCAATCAATCAGTCAGTCAATAAGTCAACTGATGTGCTATTAGGAACAGTTTAGGAACAGTTTAGAGCGTGACTTTAAGAGCTCATTTTTTAACTCTGGCATTGTCCATGCAGGACTTACTTCTGACTTGGAGGGGGCCTTCTCAACCCTTTGACCCTAAATGGATTAGCCATATTGTTTCCTTTCTTTGATGAAGAACTGGGAACATCAGGGAGAGTGGGGGCCTGCATGGAAGAGGTCTCTCGATAGCCGTTACACCACACCACATTATTTTTGAATGTTGACAGGGAGATGTCCCCTAAGGTGGCACTCTTATAGGCTCGTGGGTGCCTCCTGATGACAGCGCTGCTCCTAAGTCGCTGGTTCCTCCGCAAGGCGTCCAATGAGGTGTGTGTTTGTTGCACGGTCAGCAGCTTGATGTCCATGTTGTTGATAGGTGAGTAGACTGTGCCAATTGGCTCATAGTAGGCCAGCTCCTTTTGCCACAATTCTGAGATGAATGGAAAAAGAGATAAGGGGTACGTATAGGAATATGGTACCATTTGGGACGCAATCAAGGTCTCCAGATTCAATCTCATGGTTCTACAGAGCATTCAGTGTTGTTGAGTAATATGAATCATTTTAGTGTGGAAGTAAACTGGGAAGGAAAAACTTAGATGTAGGTTAACTCACTTGAAATGACCTTAGCATAGCGTTGCAGGTAAAACAGAGCATTCCATCATCTTCAACACTGTTGGGAAATCAGAGTTTTTCCTGGACTGAGTAACAGTGGCGTCTTTTATTAAACCTTACATAAGATTTCGCATGGACAGACTTCACTGGCTATAATCTGTATCAACCAAAACTAGACATAATAGAATAGAATAGAATCATATCAATTTTGGTGTGAAATGTACATTTGTCTTTTGTCTATCATATGTATTCCAGAGTTTCTAGAATAAAGTGTAGCCTATTGGAAATATCATTTTTGAGCATGCCTCTAAAAGTTCACATCATCAGACTGATTGTAGCCGTTTGCTTACCATGCAGAAGATAGCTTTTTACATCCATCCGTCTGTTTGTAATTGGAAAACTTTTCTATTTTTTCAGATATAAATGCATATTGTTGCTCCAAGTCGTCTCCAGTAGCGCTGTTGTTTTTACCTCTGATTGGTGGCATGGTAAAATCGAGGGGCTCTTCCTCGCAGCTTTTCAGCACCACCCATGCCCCCAGATGTGTGGGGATATGTGTGTGACAGGTCAAGCGGCGCAGTCTGTCACTTCTTTATTGTTCAATGAACAGTTTAGGGTCGTTGTAGTGCTGAGATTGCGATATGACGTCACATTTATTCTCTGCACACTCTCTTCTCTGATACGAAATTATTTTCCTGGACAGTTGTCCCTTGGTGCAAAGTTCATTCCTGTAAATATGTGCTTCTTTCGACCAGGCACCGACTCCGTCATTGCGCTTTGTTTGATCGTAGTAATCAACACAGTGATCACTGACCTCCAATACATTTTCAGTTGAAAGTCGATCCTGTTCTTCTTTCGCACAACATTTAATATGTCGTTTCATGACACTTTGCTTTTATCATAGCCTATAACTTAATTAATTGCAGTGTAGGATTATGTAGGCCCATGTCCATGACATTGGTCCACATTGTTGCGTAGAAGTATCCAGTCCCGTTACATGGTAACCACAGCATCAGCCAACATGACGCCATACAACTATGGACTATTTAACTATAGTACAATGTTGTTATTAATTCGTTTTTAAATTATTAATTCAACTTTTGAGGTATTTGATAGCTGTCAATAAATGTGTATTCAGGGCAATCAATTAAACCATAGTGCCTTAAAGAGGAGTGTCTTGCATATTTTTTGCATTGAATTGTTATTGCATATTTGTAACACATAGATGGAACAACCTTTTCAATATGCAATCAATATACCTAAGAAATGTAATGATCTAGGCCCTAGGGCCTATAGGATTTAGCCTACACTCCTTGGGCAAGCTTGGCCTACACTGGCTGGACTGTTTCCGATAATAACGTAAATCGTCATGTCGCCCTTCCCTTGTCAAGTCAAATCAAATTTTATTGGTCACATACACATATTTAGAAGATATTATTGCGGGTGTAGCGAAATGCTTGTATCCCTTGTAAGAGGAAATATCAAATAACACAGAATAGGATCGCCTCACATACAGTTATTACAATTACTGTAATTAAACCATATCTACATTTGTATCTATTGGACAGGGCTCAAAAGACAAGCATGCGCAGTACAGACAACTTAGATTTAGACTACTTCCTGCTCCGAAAAGCTGACATTTATCGCGATAGAGCCAATTTCGTACGTTGTGTAGACGACGGCCTTGTCTTGGAATGTAACATAATCGCTTTATCTATCAAGAGTGAAATACATATTCGTCTACCACTTTCGGAACATATCACATCAATGGGCTTTCTCTGAAACTGTAGCTATAATGGTCCATGACAGGAGTGAGTAAGCTCATGGTAAGTCGAAGTAGCTAGCTAGCTAACTTATGCTAGCTAGCTAAAGCTTGTTTCGACGATACGATGGTGAGCTAGCTAACTAGCAAACTAGTGGTAGCCAGCTCACTAGCTAGCTAATGTCTGTAGATTCGCTGGCTAGCTACGTTAACGTTATTAGTTTCTCTATGTCAGTTTACTTGTTGTGTGCCTTTCTGGTCAACGGCGCCTTAATAAGAAGTTGTCCGCTAATGTTATCGAACTAACGTTAACATTAGCTAATCTCTTTAGCTCGATACCAAAGATGTGTTCCATCTGTGTCGATACTTGATGGTTTGTAGCTGGCTAACGTTAGCAATCAACATACGCATCCTATTTGTCTAGCTAACGCGCTTATCCAAAAACTACAATAGTAACTAGCCAACTAGTTTGCAGTTAGCCAGCCAGCTAGCTGGTTACTCTAGTTACTTAGCTAGTACGTGGACGGTGCGCTATTTTGTTTAGGTTGATAGCCATCTAAGTTAGCTATCTTGTTTTTTCAGTGTAAGTAACGCGCTAAGCCCAATAAGACCAACTAACGTAGTCAGTTGACGTTATAGCATTATTGACCACAATAAGGTAACTTAGATGGCTAAAATACCACTGATGTTGATGCGAACGCTTTGTTAGTTTAGTTAGCTAGCTAACACGATAGTGATCAGTATGAATTAGTTAGGTAACACTTGTCAATGTGACGTGCATGTCGTGTTATCTAGCTAGGTAACTTAGCTAGTAACTTACTTAGCTAGCTGTCTTGGATTTTAGGTCATTACTTGGTGCCGTGAGATGACTAAACAAACAACAGAGACAGATCCCATGCCTGTCTGTTGCAGCCAAACCCGCCTGTTGATGTGTGAATTGTCGGATGGGGTTCTTGACCAGTTTTAGCCCGGCTAACCTCTCATTGCTGCTTTATTGGCTTATCTGTCTGGTCTTTAGGGCCCATAAACTGGCCGTGTCGCCTAATTACATTGTTTCTGCAGAGGAGCTGCTGAACAAAGCTGCCAAAAATCCTTCTTCCGTTTGTAAACACATCTTCTGACCTGTGTTGCTATTTAAAGTACAGATCTTGTGACAGAGAGACATACTTTTAATGTTGTGTGGCTGGGCAGATGTGATGCAATAATGAATGAAGATTGATGCCAGCTATTCATGATGACATTGACTGTGTGTGTGTGTGTGTAGGGGATGAGAAGAGCACAGGTGCAGCAGCAGCGTTCACGGCTGTGAGCTCAGTGACTCTATCTGTGGGCTCAGGATGGCGCAGGGAGGCCCTCAGTTAGACTATCACATCCTGCAGGACCTCAAGCAGCGCTTCCCTGAGATCCCAGAGGGAGTAGTGTCCCAGTGCCTTCTGCAGGTAGGCTACAGTAGCCAGACAGCTATGAGCAAACACATAATTGAATGCGTCCCAAATGGCACCCTATTCCCTATAGTGTATTACTTTGGCCAGAACCATATGGGCCCTGGTCAAAAGTAACAGTTAAGCCCTGTTTCCACTGGCACTTAAAATTAGGGCCAAATTCCATTCGAGCTGGCTTGAGGGAAACCCGGCCCAGCGTAGCCCAGTTTCACAACTGGTGCCAGCTAGATTAGAATTCGGGCTGGTGATGCTGTTACTATGCAACCACCAAGCTGATCACTGCTGGATGCAGACACAACGTTAAGCTAGCTCTTCTGGGCTTGTTGCTGCAGTAGTCAGACACGACACAAATTACCACCATAGCTGGATCCTTTATTCATTTTTGCACTACACAAACTTTTTTTATGAGAACAGTCAGCCCTCGAATGCTAGCTAGCTACTTAACATTAGCTAGCAAGAGTTTAAACAAGCTAGCAGGAATTTTAGCTGGCCAGGTCGTATTGAAAGCTAGCTAGCTACATCATATCAAACCTGTCGTCTGGTTAGCTAGCTAGCTAATAGCCAGCTGCAGTCACATAATGGCTGCCTAGCAACATGACATAATTAACGTTGCTCATTTCTGGAGGCAGGGGAAATGCAATTTGAGCTAGCACACCAAGGCCAGCCCAACCTGGGTTGACTTCAAAGTGCCAATGGAAAGGGGCTTTAGTGTACTGCATAGGGAATTAGGGTGCCATTTGGGGCTCACACAGGCTACAAACAATGAATGTCTGTATGCTGCTTCACTGATCTAGGCTTACAAATAGCCTAAATATGAAGTTGAACATTGACAGCTGTTTGTGTGGTTTAGGTAATGATCTGTTATGACCCCAGGAAGTTGGGGTTAGTATGCCTCTGTTTTTCTACTGGAAATCGACAGAGCAGTGACAGCTATAGAACCACAGCACCAGTCTGGGCTCTATCACTGAGCCTCTAATCCCGTCTCTCCTCCAGAACAACAATAACCTGGATATATGCTGCCACCTGCTGGCTCAGGAGAGTAACAGATACCTCTATGGGGAGTTCCACAATCCGGAGGAGGTCCGCCTGAGCCGGAACCACATGCTGCACATCCAGCTAGGGGGCTACCCCCCCTCGGAGGCGGTCAAGGCCAACGGAGGCGGGCACTCCCTGGTGCACAGCTCCAGCGACGGTCACATCGAGCCCCCGCGCGTCGCCTTTCCGGAGCCCCTCTCGGCCCCCGCCACCATAGCCCCCTCGCCGGGGTACAACCCCTTCTTCGACCACGGGGGCCGCACGGCCAGCACCCCCACTCCGCCTCCCATGCAGGGAATGTCCCCTACCTTCTCGCCCATTCCTCGCTACACCATGAACCCCATCACTGTCACTCTGTCCCAGAACCTGCCCAACGCCCCCCAGGCCCTGCAGATCCCCGCCGGTCACTATGGCAACAGTGGCGGTAATGCCCTCTACATCCGGCCCTCCCCCTCCCAGAGCCCCCAGCCCTCCCCCTGGCCCTCATCCGGGCAGCCTGTGTATCAGCCCTCGCCCTACACCACTCCCACCTACCAGTCCCCCTATAGCTCGCCCCAGCACCAACCCCACCAAGTGCAGCCCCAACAGCAGGTGCAGCACCAAGTCCAGCACCAACCCCAGCACCAGCAGACCCATGTCTTCCTGCCCATCAGCCCTCCCACCCTGGCCAGCATGCCCTACCACCACCAACAACAACAACAGCAGCAGCAGCAGCCCATCTACCGGCCGTTCCTGCCCAAGAGCTCCCTGAAGAACCAGATTGAGATCACCCTGGAGGGCCCGCGGCCCCGCAGCAACTCCCCCGTGCACTGCCCCCCGGGACAGACTCTCTACATGGCTACCAGCCCCTCGCCCAGCTCACCCCAGCGAGGCCTCAGCCTGAGTGGAGGGGGCCTTGCCGCCTTCCACCCCGGGGTCTACGTGCACCAGTGCCCCACGCGGCCCCGGCCCACCTCCTCACCCCAGCCAGGCAGCCAGGCAGGCTACACATTTAAGATCAAAGTGTCCCCAGGACAGGCCCAGCAGCAGCAGAGGCCCCCCTCGGGGTCCCCTCCAGTGGCCTCTCCGCCTGAGTCTCTGCTCAACATGGTGGACCAGGGGGAGCATCACGCACTGGCCCCGGCACCCATCCTGCCCATCTCGGCCCTGCCCGGTAACATCATCAGCCACATCGCCAACCTCATGCCGCGTCGCTCCAGCTCGGGCTCCGATGACTACGCTTACACCCAGGGTAAGCACGGCATATGAATGGATACGTTTTGTGTGTGCACAGAATCACAGATGTATGCATTCCTGCACATCCACCCGCGTAACCATCCCATCTGTTTGAAGCCCTGTGTTCCCTCCACTGTGTCCCCCAGCTCTCCTGCTGCACCAGAGGGCCCGGATGGAGCGTCTGCTGAAGGAGCTGCTGATGGAGAGGCAGAAGCTAGAGCAGCTGAAGGCGGACGTCAACGACATGGAGTACGACGCCCTCCAGAGACGCTTCAGACGAGTCAACAGCACCAGCCTCATCCCCCGGGTAAGAGGGGGGAGGGGCACAGGGGAGCAGATGTGATTGTGTAGGCACATAAACACACACACACATCGGTGAAGTTTAAATGCATAATCACATACACGCATATACACACACTCCTTTGAAGGCATAGTACGTAACTTGGCTTTTTTGCACATACACACACACCAATTGAATGCATAGGCACATAAAAACGTTTGAAGGTATGGGCACACATACAAAAACACACACATTAGCTACATACGTATGTAAAAAAACAACAACAACACATTCTGTGAAATATGTGCATACAAACAGCTTTGATCTTATTCTTAACACGTGGATAGGTTTCTGTAAATCAATGCAGAGTATAGAGTTGTCTCAATGCAGAGTTGTCCAAAAATAAATGGGCTCATCCAACCCACCGGTGTTTGTGCCTGTTCCAGCCTGAAGAGATGACCCGATTGCGCAGTCTGAACAGACAGCTTCAGATTGATATCGACTGCACCCTGAAGGAGACGGATCTGCTGCAGTCTAGAGGTACACACGCACACAGAGAGAAACTCTCACACACAAACAGGCTTTTGAAGATGCAGTGTGTACACACACACACACAAATGCCAACAGGCTTTTGAAGATGCCGTGTACAAGAGCGCACATTCAGGTGTCAAACAATAGATGCTGTATGAGTTGTGTCATTTCTACAGGGAAGTTTGATCCGCAAGCCGAGAACAACTTTTATAAGAACATTCAGACCGGTCCGGTGGTACCGCCCAAGCCAGCAAGAAAAGGTGAGAAACATGATATCCTCTATTGTACCACTGTAAACATTGGTAACACTTTATTTAAAAAGGGCAATCTGCGGTCGGTACATACATTTTTGGACTTGATGATATATATACCCTCTGATTCTTGAATAATATAAATTATAAATGCTTCATGATCTTTGTTAAACTTTCTTACCCCATCCAGAACCCAAAATATAAGCTTGTTTTGCTTGTAAGCAACGTAATTGTAAACAACCACTGTATAGCCTCAAAATTGTTAAAAATGTTGGTATCATGGATGGTCAGTCCTTGTGTTTATATCGCTATGAATTTGACCAACAGTGGTGGGGTGTCTGCTTTGTTATTGTTTGAACTGCAGATTGCCCCTGCGGTATAGCTTAGTGCTTTATAACTTGTTTTATGCATGTATGAGCCTTTATAATGTCTTGTATTACATTTGATAAAATGTTACTTGTCTTTGTTTTTTCCTCAAATTCTCTCTGATCACTCCCCTCAGTAGACCAAAGGTGGTAAATAATCGAGTGACCATGGTTTTTGTTGATTACCTTCGTGTTGCAAAGGCTCCCTGTGTGGACATTCTCCAAATGTTTTTGAAAGCATTTCCTTTTCAGAAAGGTCTTTAAAATGGTGCTGTGTATTTGTATGATCGGTGTGTAGTGTAATGACATTAATTTCATTTAGCGCTTGATATTGTACTTATGGGGTAACTCGCCTTATTCACCACTAATTAGTATCACCCTCATTGGTGATATGACAGCCAATTTGCACCAGAAGTCTCACCACCACACAATAGCAGTGGAGAGATTGTGGCAATTTGATCCTGTAGATGACAGTAGTAGGATAATGGGCCAGGTTATGAATTTAGCCATGACACCAGTGTGAACAGCACCCCTGCGCTTGCCATGAATGCCTATGGGATCCTTGCTGAACACAGATTGAGGCTCTCTGTTGTAACATCCCATCGGAAGGACATATTTTTATTTTTTTCTGTTATGTTTGGTAGTGTGATGATGCTAACAGACCTGAACCGGACACGCAAGTTTTGCAGAGCACGGGAAGCGCCTATTAATTTAGATGAAACCAGTGTGAAAGCAGCGCTCAGAGTAAAATTACACTGGTTCTATTTACAAGGTTTTGTTGCGTGGCTCATGCCCGAGAACACTTGATAAAGTGGCTTGCTGTCTTCTCATGCTGGCAAAAAGCAGTGTAGTGACTAAAAAAACGAATGTTTTCCCGACACCCTGTTTAGCTCCCCTGTAAGACTGTTGTAGGATCTGCTGTGTTTGTTGGTGTGATACTAGGTAGAGCTGGGAATTGCCAAGGACCTCACGAGATGATATTATCACAATACTTGGGTGCCGATACGATATGTATTGCGATTCTATCTGTATTGTGATTTGATATTGCAATTTGATGTTCCAAACATATTGCTCACCATATGTCTGCTGCAGAGAGACAAGGGAGCATGAGAAAACAAGTTTTGGTCAGTTAGGGAAATAAAAGTCATGAAAACATGTTGGCTCACGATTTAAAAAGATTGAGAACAAGCTATAGGATGAAAAATACAGGAGTTTTGGCACAGGAACACCTGACTAGCGCTAGTTTAAACTACGTACTGTAGAAAAAAAGAAATGTTATATATGTGTATATATACAGTGCCTTCGGAATGTATTCAGACCCCTTGACTTTTTCCACATTTTGTTACAGCCTTATTCTAAAATAGATTTATTTTTAAATGGGTATGACGCTACACGCTTGGCACACCTCTATTTGGGGAGTTTCTCCCATTCTTCTCTGCAGATCAATCAATCAATCAATCAATCAATTTTATTTTATATAGCCCTTCGTACATCAGCTAATATCTCGAAGTGCTGTACAGAAACCCAGCCTAAAACCCCAAACAGCTAGTAATGCAGGTGTAGAAGCACGGTGGCTAGGAAAAACTCCCTAGAAAGGCCAAAACCTAGGAAGAAACCTAGAGAGGAACCAGGCTATGAGGGGTGGCCAGTCCTCTTCTGGCTGTGCCGGGTGGAGATTATAACAGAACCATGCTAAGATGTTCAAAAATGTTCATAAGTGACAAGCATGGTCAAATAATAATCAGGAATAAATCTCAGTTGGCTTTTCATAGCCGATCATTAAGAGTTGAAAACAGCAGGTCTGGGACAGGTAGGGGTTCCATAACCGCAGGCAGAACAGTTGAAACTGGAATAGCAGCAAGGCCAGGCGGACTGGGGACAGCAAGGAGTCACCACGGCCGGTAGTCCCGACGTATGGTCCTAGGGCTCAGGTCTCTCAGTTGGCTTTTCATAGCCGATCATTAAGAGTTGAAAACAGCAGGTCTGGGACAGGTAGGGGTTTCGTAACCGCAGGCAGAACAGTTGAAACTGGAATAGCAGCAAGGCCAGGCGGACTGGGGACAGCAAGGTGTCAGCATGCCCGGTAGTCCTGACGTATGGTCCTAGGGCTCAGGTTCTCAGAGAGAAAGAGAGAACGAGAGAATTAGAGAGAGCATACTTAAATTCACACAGGACACTGGATAAGACAGGAGAAGTACTCCAGGTATAACCAACTAACCCCAGCCCCCCGACACATAAACTACTGCAGCATAAATACTGGAGGCTGAGACAGGAGCGGTCCGGAGACACTGTGGCCCCATCCGAAGAAACCCCCGGACAGGGCCAAACAGGAAGGATATAACCCCACCCACTCTGCCAAAGCACAGCCCCCGCACCACTAGAGGGATATCCTCAACCACCAACTTACAATCCTGAGACAAGGCCGAGTATAGCCCACAGAGGTCTCCACCACAGCACAAACCAAGGGGGGGCGCCAACCCAGACAGGAAGATCACGTCAGTAACTCAACCCACTCAAGTGACGCACCCCTCCTAGGGACGGCATGAAAGAGCACCAGCAAGCCAGTGACTCAGCCCCTGTAACAGGGTTAGAGGCAGAGAACCCCAGTGGAGAGAGGGGAACCGGCCTGGCAGAGACAGCAAGGGCTGTTCGTTGCTCCAGAGCCTTTCCGTTCACCTTCACACTCCTGGGCCAGACTACACTCAATCATAAGACCTACTGAAGAGATAAGTCTTCAGTAAAGACTTAAAGGTAGAGACCGAGTCTGCGTCTCTCACATGGGTAGGCAAACTGTTCCATAAAAATGGAGATCTATAGGAGAAAGCCCTGTCTCCCGCTGTTTGCTTAGAAATTTTAGGGACAATTAGGAGGCCTGCGTCTTGTGACCGTAGCGTACGTATTGGTATGTACGGCAGGACCAACTCGGAAAGATAGGTAGGAGCAAGCCCATGTAACGCTTTATAGGTTAACAGTAAAACCTTGAAATCAGCCCTTGCCTTAACAGGAAGCCAGTGTAGGGAAGCTAGCACTGGAGTAAAATGATCAAATTTCTTGGTTCTAGTCAGGATTCTAGCAGCCGTATTTAGCACTAACTGAAGTTTATTTAGTGCTTTATCCGGGTAGCCGGAAAGTAGAGCATTGCAGTAGTCTAACCTAGAAGTAACAAATGCATGGATTAATTTTTCTGCATCATTTTTGGACAGAAAATTTCTGATTTTTGCAATGTTACGTAGATGGAAAAAAGCTGTCCTTGAAACAGTCTTGATATGTTCGTCAAAAGAGAGATCAGGGTCAAGAGTAACGCCGAGGTCCTTCACAGTTTTATTTGAGACGACTTTACAACCATCAAGATGAATTGTCAGATTTAACAGAAGATATCTTTGTTTCTTGGGACCTAGGACAAGCATCTCTGTTTTGTCCGAGTTTAAAAGTAGAAAGTTTTCAGCCATCCACTTCCTTATGTCTGAAACACAGGCTTCTAGCGAGGGCAATTTTGGGGCTTCACCATGTTTCATTGAAATGTACAGCTGTGTGTCATCCGCATAGCAGTGAAAGTTAACATTATGTTTTCAATAACATCCCCAAGAGGTAAAATATATAGTGAAAACAATAGTGGTCCTAAAACGGAACCTTGAGGAACACCGAAATGTACAGTTGATTTGTCGGAGGACAGACCATTCACAGAGACAAACTGATATCTTTCCGACAGGTAAGATCTAAACCAGGCCAGAACTTGTCCGTGTAGACCAATTTGGGTTTCCAGTCTCTCCAAAAGAATGTGGTGATCGATGGTGTCAAAGGCAGCACTAAGGTCTAGTAGCACGAGGACAGATGCAGAGCCTCGGTCTGACGCCATTAAAAGGTCATTTACCACCTTCACAAGTGCAGTCTCAGTGCTATGATGGGGTCTAAAACCAGACTGAAGCATTTCGTATACATTGTTTGTCTTCAGAAAGGCAGTGAGTTGCTGCGCAACAGCTTTTTCTAAAATTTTTGAGAGGAATGGAAGATTCGATATAGGCCGATAGTTTTTTATATTTTCCGGGTCAAGGTTTGGCTTTTTCAAGAGAGGCTTTATCACTGCCACTTTTAGTGAGTTTGGTACACATCCGGTGGATAGAGAGCTGTTTATTATGTTCAACATAGGAGGGCCAAGCACAGGAAGCAGCTCCTTCAGCAGTTTAGTAGGAATAGGATCCAGTATGCAGCTTGAAGGTTTAGAGGCCATGATTATTTTCATCATTGTGTCAAGAGATATAGTACTAAAACACTTAAGTGTCTCTCCCGATCCCAGGCCCTCGCAGAGCTGTGCAGATCCAGGACAGCTAAGCCCTGGAGGAATACGCAGATTCAAAGAGGAGTCCGTAATTTGCTTTCTAATGGTCATGATCTTTTCCTCAAAGAAGTTCATGAATTTATTACTGCTGAAGTGAAAGCCATCCTCTCTTGGGGAATGCTTCTTTTTAGTTAGCTTTGCAACAGTATCAAAAAGAAATTTTGGATTGTTCTTATTTTCCTCGATTAAGTTGGAAAAGTAGGATGATCGAGCAGCAGTGAGGGCTCTTCGGTACTGCACGGTACTGTCTTTCCAAGCTAGTCGGAAGACTTCCAGTTTGGTGTGGCGCCATTTCCGTTCCAATTTCCTGGAAGCTTGCTTCAAAGCTCGGGTATTTTCTGTATACCAGGGAGCTAGTTTCTTATGACAAATGTTTTTCGTTTTTAGGGGTGCAACTGCATCTAGGGTATTGCGCAAGGTTAAATTGAGTTCCTCAGTTAAGTGGTTAACTGATTTTTGTCCTCTGACGTCCTTGGGTAGGCAGAAGGAGTCTGGAAGGGCATCAAGGAATTTTTGTGTTGTCTGAGAATTTATAGCACGACTTTTGATGCTCCTTGGTTGGGGTCTGAGCAGATTATTTGTTGCGATTGCAAACGTAATAAAATGGTGGTCCGATAGTCCAGGATTTTGTGGAAAAACATTAAGATCTACAACATTTATTCCATGGGACAAAACTAGGTCCAGAGTATGACTGTGGCAGTGAGTAGGTCCAGAGACATGTTGGACAAAACCCACTGAGTCGATGATGGCTCCGAAAGACTTTTGGAGTGGGTCTGTGGACTTCTCCATGTGAATATTAAAATCACCAAAAATTAGAATATGATCTGCTATGACTACAAGGTCTGATAGGAATTCAGGAAACTCAGAGAGGAATGCTGTATATGGCCCAGGAGGCCTGTAAACAGTAGCTATAAAAAGTGATTGAGTAGGCTGCATAGATTTCATGACTAGAAGCTCAAAAGACGAAAACGCCATTTTTTTTTTTGTAAATTGAAATTTGCTATCGTAAATGTTAGCAACACCTCCGCCTTTGCGGGATGCACGGGGAATATGGTCACTAGTGTAACCAGGAGGTGAGGCCTCATTTAACACAGCAAATTCATCAGGCTTAAGCCATGTTTCAGTCAGGCCAATCACATCAAGATTATGATCAGTGATTAGTTCATTGACTATGACTGCTTTTGAAGTGAGGGATCTAACATTAAGTAACCCTATTTTGAGATGTGAGGTATCACGATCTATTTCAATAATGGCAGGAATGGAGGAGGTCTTTATCCTAATAAGATTGCTAGGGCGAACACCGTCATGTTTAGTTTTGCCCAACCTAGGTCGAGGCACAGACACAGTCTCAATGGGTATGGCTGAGCTGACTACACTGACTGTGCTATTGGCAGACTCCACTAAGCTGGCAGGTTGGCTAACAGCCTGCTGCCTGGCCTGCACCCTATTTCACTGTGGGGCTAGAGGAGTTAGAGCCCTATCTATGTTGGTAGATAAGATGAGAGCACCCCTCCAGCTAGGATGGAGTCCGTCACTCCTTAGCAGGTCAGGCTTGGTCCTGTTTGTGGGTGAGTCCCAGAAAGAGGGCCAATTATCTACAAATTCTATCTTTTGGGAGGGGCAGAAAACAGTTTTCAACCAGCGATTGAGTGCTGAGACTCTGCTGTAGAGCTCGTCACTCCCCCTAACTGGGAGATCCTCTCAAGCTCTGTCAGGTTGGATGGGGTGCATTGCTGCACAGCTATTTTCTGGTCTCTCCAGAGATGTTCGATCCGGTTCAAGTCTGGGCTCTGGCTGCCACCACCATGCTTCACCGTAGGGATGGTGCCAGGTTCCTCCAGACGTGACGCTTGGCATTCAGGCCAAAGCGATCAATCTTGGTTTCATCAGACCAGAGAATCTTGTTTCTCATGGTCTGAGAGTCCTTTAGATGCCTTTTGGCAAACTCCAAGCCGGCTGTCATGTGCCTTTTACTGAGGAGTGGCTTCCGTCTGGCCACTACCATAAAGGCCTGATTGGTGGAGTGCTGCAGAGATGGTTGTCCTTCTGGAAGGTTCTCCCATCTCCACAGAGGAACACCTACCTGACCAAGGCCCTTCTCCCCCGATTGCTCAGTTTGGCTGGGTGGCCAGCTCTAGGAAGAGTCTTGGTGGTTCCAAACTTCTTCCATTTAAGAATGATGGAGGCCACTGTGTTCTTGGGGATCTTCAATGCTGCAGACATTTTTTGGTACCCTTCCCCAGATCTGTGCCTCGACACAATCCTGTCTCGGAGCTCTACGGACAATTCCTTCGACCTCATGGCTTGGTTTTTGCTCTGACATGCTCTGTCAACTGTGGGACCTTATATAGACAGGTGTGTGCCTTTCCAAGTCATGTCCAATCAATTGAATTTACCACAGGTGGACAAGTTGTAGAAACATCTCAAGGATAATCAATGGAAACAGTCTCATAGCAAAGGGTCTGAATACTTCTTACACTACCAGTCAAAGTTTGGACACCTACTCATTTAATGGTTTTTCTTTATTTTTACTATTTTTTACATTGTAGAATAATAGTGAAAACATCAACTATGAAATAACACATATGGAATCATGTAGTAACCAAAAAAGTGTTAAACAAACCAAAATATATTTTATATATGAGTCTTCAAATAGCCACCCTTTGCCTTGATGACAGCTTTGCACACTCTTGGCATTCTCTCAACCAGCTTCATGAGGTAGTCACCTGGAATGCATTTCAATTAACAGGTGTGCCTTGTTAAATGACGTAAATGTAAATGTTAAAAGTTAATTTGTGGAATTTCTTTCCTTCTTAATGGGTTTGAGCCAATCAAGGTAGGAGGGGTATACAGAAGATAGCCCTATATGGTAAAAGACCAAGTCCATATTATGGCAAGAACAGCTCCAATAAGCAAAGAGAAATGACAGTCCATCATTACTTTAAGACATGAAGGTCAGTCAATCCGGATCATTTCAAGAACTTTGAAAATGTCTTCAAGTTCAGTCGCAAAAACCATCAAGCGCTATGATGAAACTGGCTCTCATGAGGACCGCCACAGGAATGGAAGACCCAGAGTTACCTCTCCTGCAGAGGATAAGTTAATTAGAGTTACCAGCCTCAGAAATTGCAGCCCAAATAAATGCTTCACAGAGTTCCAGTCACAGACACGTCTCAACATCAACTGTTCAGAGGGGACTGTGTGAATCAGGCCTTCATGGTTGAATTGCTGCAAAGAAACCACTACTAAAGGACCCCAATAAGAAGAAGAGATCTGCTTGGGCCAAGAAACACAAGCAATGGACATTAGACCGGTGGAAATTTGTCCTTTGGTCTGGAGTCAAATTGGAGATTTTTGGTTCCAACCGCTGTGTCTTTGTGAGACGCGGTGTGGGTGAACGGATGATCTCCGCATGTGTATTTCCCACCTTTAAAGCATGGAGGAGGTGGTGTTATGGTGTGGGGGTGCTTTGCTGGTGACACTGTCTTTTGATTTAATTAGAATTCAAGGCACACTTAACCAGCATGGCTACCACAGCATTCTGCAGCGATACGCCATTCCATCTGGTTTGGGTTTAGTGGGACTATCATTTGTTTTTCAACAGGACAACGACCCAACACACCTCCAGGCTGTGTAAGGGCTATTTTACCAAGAAGGAGAGCGATGGAGTGCAGCATCAGATGACCTGGCGTCCACAATCCCCCGACCTCAACCCAATTTGAGATGGTTTGGGATGAGTCGGACGGCAGAGTGAAGGAAAAGTAGCCAAGAAGTGCTCAGCATATGTGGGAACTCCTTCAAGACTGTTGGAAATTAGTTTAACACATTTTTGGTTACTACATGTGTTATTTCATAGTTTTGATGTCTTCACTATTATTCTACAATGTAGAAAATAGTAAAAATAAAGAAAAACCCTTGAATGAGTAGGTGTGTCCAAACTTTGACTGGTACTTTATGTAAATAAGGTATTTCTGTTTATTTTTAATAAATTCGCAACAATTTAAAAAAAAAAACTGTTTTCTCTTTGTAATTATGGGATATTGTGTGTGTGTGGGGGGGGGACATTTTAATCAATTTTAGAATAAGGCTGTAACGTAACAACATTTGGAAAAAGCCAAAGGGTCTGAATATTTTCCGAAGGCACTGTATATATGTTGTGTGTTAGTGACGCTAAGCCTGTATGCGTCTTTCTCTCCCAGAGGGGGAGCGGAACCCCAAGCCTGCGGTCGCAGGGCCCCAGAGGGACGAGGACTTTGAGGGAGCCCAGTGGAGCTGTGAAGAATGCACCTTCCTCAACCACCCTGCACTCAACCGCTGTGAACAGTGCGAGATGCCGCGCTACACCTGAACCTTGCCCAGCCCACACCAATCCTGTCCCGGACAGTAGTCGTCCCCTCCCCCCTTTACTTCTTCTTCCTGTAAACTCCTCTGCCCATGTTTGTGTGATGACCCTCCTTCCCTGTCAATCTATATATAAGCCCCTCCCACCTGCTGAGGAAGAGTCACTCCCCCATCCCCACTCCTTTTGTCTCATTAGAGGAACCCACCCATGCACTTTGACCCTTGTTTCCATTGGAGGAAAACATTTTCACAGGAGAGGACAGCAGGAGACTTTTCCCATGTCAACCCAAAAGGGAGGGACTAGCTGTACGGAGAGTGGACAGTGGGTGTGGCTACAGAACAGCCAATGGAGCGTTGTTTTTATTATACGGAGGAGGAAGAGGCGGCGTGGTTTACCCAGTGAACATTCCGTTGCAGAATGAATGAGATTGCCCTGTTTACACGACTGAGCCCCTTCCCAACCCCCACCGACGGGCAGACGTTCATTCCCCTATAAATGACCAGGGCTGCACTCTGACAGTGGGACAATGCAATGGCTAAAAGAAAGGGTCTGATGAACTAATCCTAATGTAGACTATACACTGTATCGGCTCTGTGCCAAGAGCTCCTTCTTTCATCAAATGAAGAACACTAAAGAGACTTGCATATGAATATATTCCTGGTACTTTTATGCATATTATGCCCACACTGTATTCCGTGTTAAAAATGTCGATTTCCCTGTGCAAATGCCTCAAGTTGCTGTACTTAATAAAAGAGCTGATTCTATGTGACTGATGCTTACACCTGGAATATATTTCCTGTAGCTTTGAGTGTCTTTTTAGTGGCATTTCATTTAATGCACTACTGCTTGCTTTGACTTGGTTGTCCCCTCTCGCAAATGAAAATCACACACACTTCTCTTTTTCATTACCTGTTTTATTGTGTTAGTTTACTAACTAATAGGCATCAGCCACACAGCAGCAGCAATCCATACTCATTCACTCTCAGCACACACACCTCGCTACTCCTTTGCACACACACTTTCTACCTCAAAAGCACACAAGCATTCCTACTCTAGCTTCATTTACCTGTATTGTTTTTAATGTAAAGGCTAAATAACTTTCATTTTAAGTTATGGATCAGAAACTAGAGTATATTCTAGACAGAGTATTCAAGACGAGTATATTTAAGACATATTTTCTATAATACTGCTTAAGAGCTTGGCTTCATCCCAAATGGTGCCCTATTCCCTACATAGTGCACTACCCCTATGGGCCCTGGTCTAAAGGTTTGCACTAAATTGGGAATAGGGCACCATTTGGGACGCAGTTCCCAACAGTTTGGACCAATAAGAGGCATCGCATGGGGAGTGTGGGAGTGCACACTGAGTGATCGTATTGCTCCAGGCCCCACACACATACAACACTGGTCGTTTGCCCTCTTCACACACATCATTGGAGAAAGTGGCTGAATGACTCAATGTCAATTTGGGGAAAACGGTAGCAATGTACTTCTCCATAAAACTCAACAAACAGGCTTACCGGAACATACTTATCCACTGAGTTTAAATATCTGGGCATTATCCTAGACCCTACATTGAACAAAACCAAAAACAAGATTTCCAGCAAAATCGGATATAGTCTTTCAAATTTCCATTACATCAGGAACTCACTCTCTACAAAGGCAGCCAAGATGTATTTACATGCAATGATCTTCTCTCACCTACTGTATAACCAGCTGGCCTCAAGCCACTGAAACATAAATTAAGTCCCTTCGATCTCTATATAAACAAGCACTGAAGATCCTGGACAGGAAATCACATTACCATCACTGTAATAATCTCCCCAAATACAATCTGTTCAATTTGGACAACTTTGTTTTCTCAGATGTCTGTCTAGTTTATAAGATTATCAACAATGTTGCACCCCCACCTCTGAAATATTTTGTCATATTAAGCTCTGAACGCAGCCTGGCCTCAGACTAGGCGTAACATAGTAAATGTAAATCCGGGACACTGAAATGAGTATGATATGTTACGTTTGGTATGGTTACATAAGACAGATGGTTACTAAAGGCAAAAACGAAAGTAGGGTTGTTAGATGGGCATTTAACGCGAACGTCTAGCAACCCAAAGGTTGTGAGTTCGAATCTCATAGCAGGCCATTTTAGCTAATTAGCAACTTTTCAATTACTTAATACTTTTTAGCTAATTTGCAACTACTTAGCATGTTAGCTAACCCTTCCCCCAACCCTAACTTCAAACCTTTTAGCTAACCCTTTAACCTAACTCCTAAACTTAACCTTAACCCAAACCCCTAGCCTAGCTAACGTTAGCCACCTAGCTAGAATTCGTAACATATTGTACGAAATGGTTGATGGACATCCACAAATTAATACATACCATAAGAAACACAACATATGATACTAAATAGAGTGTTGCAGATTTGCGTACAGAATAATACAAAATGCTCTGAGACCCGGTTGCTGAACAAAACCTCCACAAGCGGAGACTGTGTCATTCCTAAAAGGAAACCCACCTTTGGGAAGTCAGCATTCTCCACCTCAGGCATCAGAAAATGGAATTCCCGCCCCTCTACCTTAAAAAGCACTAGCGACTTTAAATCCTTCTCCATGGAGGTCAAAGTGTGGATCAAGGCGCATCAATCCTGCACACATTGACTAATTCTTAATGCACTCAAGTCTCAATGTGTTTTATGTATCTATTGTATTTGTTGTATTTTATGTTTCCTGTATTTGTTTTAATCTGTTATATCACATGTCAAACTCATTCCACAGAGGGCCAAGTGTCTGCAGGTTTTCGCTCCACCCTTGTACTTGATTGATGAATTAAGGTCGCTAATTAGTAAGGAACTCCCCTCACCTGGTTGTCTAGGTCTTAAAACAAAAACCCAGACACTCGGCCCTCTGTGGAATGAGTTTGACACCCCTGTGTTATATCGTACTATACTACTGTATGAATGATGTGTGTATTTAGCTATGTTTATGTATTTAGTTATGCATAGTTAGGGACCGCGGATTAAAATTAGCTGTGTTTAGCATACTCTGGTGCAAACATATTTCACTGTCTGAAATGTATGTTTTTAATTGCACATGGACCCTTTAAATAAACTACTACTACTTCTCTAATTTACTGTATTAGAAATGCATTTACCACACGAAAGCACCTCTTAACTACTCTATTTACATATCTTACAACTGCTGCTATTCGAAGCAGGCACAGCTGGGGTTAGGCCGCAGGGTGCGGTAGGTCTTAGATTAGGGATGGGGGCCACAAGAAATCTGAATTCATCATGAGGGGCAGCAGTGGATCGCATGTCTGCGTACCCACATCCACATCCACACACACACATGCAGTCAGAGCCGGACCTAGCCTTTTGGGGGCCCTGAGTGAAATTTGGTTGGGGGGACAACTTGGAGGATTTTAGCGTCCCCTCTTGACAGCGGAGAGAAAAAATTGAAGTTTTAGAGTCAATTTCCTGCAATTCTACAGAGAGAATTTAGCAATTTTATAACAAATTTCATGCAATTCCTTTTTCCATGGGTGGAGAGAAACAGGAGTTTTATAGCTAATTTTCTGCAATCCTACACATTTTGCCTTGGGTGGAGAGAAATGTTTGCAGTTTTTAATATGATATCTGAGTGAGAGTGACTAACAAAATCAATGGGGCCCCCCGGTCGGTAATTCGACCATGATTACTACAACTTTATATAGCTGGCTAGACTAACTACCAATCTAAAAAAAAATAGCTGACATGGGCTTATTGAGTGACTGTGTCAGTGACTGACATAAGAAAATATAAACTGCTGATGCACAACCAAATTTCGAAATTGCATCTTGTGTATTCTACTATTCTTACTCTCAACAGTAAGTTGAGACCCCCACTGAGTTCCAAAAAAACTCATTTTCATTTTTGGAAATTGATCCGCGGGCCTACAAAAGGGGGGCGGGCCGCTAGTTGCCCATCCCGGTCTTAGATTATGCCTTACCGCTGCTAGTGTGTGTGTGTGTGTGTGATGTGCGTATGCGTGTCGTGTGGTATGTGTGCATGTGGTATGTGTGTGTGTATGGCCTGTGCTAATGTTTAACCAGTAATACTTTGCATGGAATGTATCGTGAGCTCTGGCCTAACCAATTATACCATATCTTGTTTGTGGCATTGGGGCATGTACCAATAGTCTATAGTGGCTTCCTTCCCTTGTCTCCTTCCCTTCATCTGCACTGATCTAGAGGAGCAGTATAGGTGAAAGCAAATTACTCTTTGCTGCCTACCTTAACCCATCCAATCTTATTTTAGATTAGCACAGATGAAAGAAAGGCAAAAGCAAAGGTAATCACATATATTAGAGGGGGTGATGGCATGCATCCTTGATTCCTTTCCTTAGGTTAGTCACCTTCCTTTCCTCCTCAAGATCAATCTGTCTATCTGGCCCATCCCTCTGCTCTCTGATTGGTCTGTGTGTCTGTCACTCTCAACTGTCCCTTCTCCTCCCTCTCGTCTCTGTATTAGATCACCTAATCCATCTGTTCTCTGTGGTTTATTAATGACAAAGCATTGTGCTGCCAACTCCTACTGGAGTTCCTATGTTAAAGGGGACCTACTGTTGGCTCAGAATGTGGACATGATTTCACTGATGCATCTGATTGATAATTAGGATTCCATTGAACTGTCAAATTGGCTCTTTAGCCTCACCACTTAGCCTATGGTTGATGTTGGTCACAACACAGGCGGAGATGCCCGTGGAGACCACAACCTCATACTGTGCTATAGAGTGTTCCTTTAAGTCTGGTATAGTACAGGATTGTGAAGGTTTGACTGTATAGATAGACACTACTGTTGTTGATTCGCCAATCGATGTGTGTGAATATGTATTTTCTCTACCAGTTCTATAAAGTTCAGAGTTTCAGCTGCTATCACAGTGAGTGTGGGGGGAACATGAAGTTGTGTAGAGGGCTCTCCTCCTCTCTAATCTTGCAGGGTTTAGTAGTAGTCGTCATAGTCCTTGGGGTTGAGGCAGTAGAGAATGGCCCCTCCAAAAGAGAAGATGGTGGCCCCCCAGGCGAGGCCATAGCCCCAGTTGAACTCGTGGTATATCCTCAGGCTGACCGTCTCAATGAACTTAATGGGGTAGAGGATCAAACCGCAGACCTGGAGCACCACTGTTAGGGAGAGAGGAGGATGTGAGTGAAGGAGAGAAATGGAGCACATGAAATGAAAAGAAAATAAGAGAATAAGGAAGATTCAATACTGTACCTGCAGCAAACAGCATGACAGCGATGGGTCTGTAGCAGTGGCTCCTGGAACCGACACACACTGACACCAGGGCCACCAGGAAGGAGAACAGGATGAGGGCTGCACCACCCAGCAACAGGACCAGCGTGGCAATCTGCCAGTCTGAGAGAGAGGGGGGGCACACAGCCACAGTGAAAAATGGCACAGCCACCGACATGAAAGTCATGCAGGTGAAAAATCACATTGCACACACACCATCTGGTAACAGAGTGCTTCCTATTCCTCATGGGTATAGGAAGAGTATTCTGAGAATTTGACAGAGATTTGCCAGGAAAATGTTTTCGTGGGGTTATAAGCCTAGTGATCCATGTTTACAGTGTGGCGTATGGTCCGAGAATGTTAACCCTGCACTAAAATCTGATCTTTACCCAACGCAGAAGAATGGACGAAAACGAACACACGCATGCGCACACAGACACACACACTTTCTCTCTCTCTCACACACACACACACATAGGCGCTCTCTCCGTCTCTCACACACTCTCACTGCTAGGCTTCTTAATGAATCCCAGTGCAGCAGCAGAAGTAGACAAAGTAATTATCTGGGTGATTATGGTAATAGGTATCCATCCTGCCTGCCCCATGCAAAGTCAGCAGCAGTCTCAGCGTTTCATTCAGAAGAACTGCAAAACATTCAACTAAAGTAGAGACTAGAAATAGCACTCGCTGGAATGCTAACAGGGATAGCAGAGGGGGCTAGAGACACAGAGGGGGTTGAGAGAGAGAGGCAGAGAGAGCTACTAGCTAGGCCTACTATATCGAGCCACTTCACTACATGTATGGAATGAAAAATAATCTTGGTAGAATAAAAATGTTGGTGGGTTGAGGAATAAGGGATAGATATGGTATAGAATGTAATAGGCGGTATTTGGGGAGAAAGCTTGGATACAATGTGCTGGGTGGTGAAGTTTCCCATCTGTGCAGATCTAGCATCAGCCATAAGTGGGGGAAATGCAAAATGACCCAAGAACAGCGTCTACTTGGACAAACTTCACCCTACACGATAGAATGTTAACAAGCTTAGTCTCACATAGCTAGCTGCTAGACCAGGGTTCGGCAACCTTTTTTGTGTGGAGTGCCAATTTACCCTACCATTTCTAATGATCTGCGTGCCAGTTATGATTTTCATATGTGCATTACAACTCATTGTGTCTATTGAATATCTAAGTGCCCACAAACGGAAGAATTCCATAGTTCGCTAAACAGAGGCGCTGTCCATTAGCACCACGGGCTTGATCTTGGAACACAGATTGTCTTGCTGAATGATAATGACATTTAACCACGGGGTGGCCAATCTTATCTTCAATCAGCTCTGCGAATCCTTTATGTTTCCCCACCATAGCGAGGGCACTGTCAGTTGTAATAGCGAATATGTTTTTAATATCGACACCTCTCTCCTCGAAATGATCTGTGAAGGCTTTTGCTACATCTTCCCCCTTAAGTAGTACCATGCATGGGTTTTAGACAAAGCAGCTCCTCACGTACCTGCTCTGAGTCACAGTACCGTATCTTGCAACAACTGCCAGACGTGGAATGTCATTCACATCCACACTCTCATTAACAGCCAACTAAACACAGGTGTATCTTTTAACGCAACAGTTTGCTGCTCCTTTACAATCATCTCGGCAACGCGCCTTTCAACAGTTCTGGCAGACACAGGCATGTCTTTATCTTTGAGATGATTGTGTCTTTGTTAGGCAATCCATCAAATAAAACCTGCGAACTACTGAGGAAAGCCTCCTTAATATATTCCCCATTAGTAAATGGTTTTCCATGTTTAGCAATGCACTGCGCAATTTTGTAGCTCCCCCTGTAGCTTGATTTTTGACTGCATGTAGATTTGTAAACACACTGCTTTGCTTTTCATACCTGGACATGGCCCTCTTGATTCCTTCAGCCTTGTCCGCCTCATCCATGTGTGAAGTTTTTCTCATGTCTCGTTTCAAAATGACGCCGTACACTTGATGTCCAACAAACAACAGTTTTACAACAGAGAGCGCAAACAAACCGGTCCTTCAGTAAAACAAATCCATATCCCTTTGTCCAAGAGGCAATAAACGAGGGGACATATGCCTTATTTTTCTTTGCTGATTACATTTTTCGCCCTGAACTTTTTTAAATAAAAGAAGGCTTGCTAGCTGCTAGCCATGTGAAAACGAATCTCTCATCTTCAGTGCTGCCTTGGTTTTGAATTTCGCGGGAGAGGCGAGGCGAGGGGGGTCGTCTTGCGCTGAACTAATAATATGAAACTCCTGCAAAATCATGAAATTCCATTGGCTAAACCAGGATTGACATATCTTGGGAACTACAACATTTAGACATTTAGGCGTAGACACTTATCTAACAGGCTAGACTGTATGGGAGGTATACTGGCATCTAGGCACATAAGACTGAGTGGGCTATGAGGACTGATGGACTGCTGAGTGATATAACTGTATAATTGTTGGGAGTAACAGTCTAGATTCTTGTTCATCAACAATCTGTGTGCTGGGTGGGGAAATGGTATATGTAAACAAACAAGGGATGTTATGATGGGGTTGTTGATTACCTTTTAGAAATATATCTTATCAAAGTAAATACCATCACAGAAAAGGGTTTGGTTTCTAATTATAAAATATGCTCAAATAGTTAGACATAAAGAAAAAGTCAGATTTAATACGTAATCACACAATGTTCATTACAATCACAGCTAAACAGATTAATGCATGGCAAATTATTTCCCTCTATAGCAATGCGGGAATCATCAAACCAGTCGACAATGAGAGAATGTGACAGTGTGTAAGCCGCTTAAACTACAGTTCCCACCCTTGTCGGGGGGAACTTCATTCCACAGGCTGAGCTGCTCAAACACAAACAAACATTCACTTCTTTGACCAAATATGGCTTCTACGATTTAGAGTTTTAAAATGGTCCTGTCATCACAGGAAGCTGAAGGGAACCCACAAAAAGCAGAGCTCCGGCTCCCTTCAGCCTCAGTGCTTTCACAACATGCGGTACTGACTTGCAACGACCCTTGACCTCTCATTTGCAGCAACCTCACTGGCTGCCTCTCCGACCGCAGGAGCTACACTAACTCCTGTTCGTCTGTATCTAATCATTCCGGTCATTTTATAGTCGTTTCGGTCATTTCTTCCCTATCAGACTGCAACTGAAATTGCAGGAGCTACTGCGGTTATTATCAGTCTGTATCAGTTGTGTAACAGCAGGATACAGAAACTCATTTCAGCAGCTCAGATATTTGGAATGGACCCACATGCTCTGTGCGAGAAATACAGCCAGAAGTCTCAGTGCTTGAAGGACAGGAAGCGCTAACTATTAATCTGGGGTTGAGTCACAAATGGCACCCTATTCCCTATGTAGTGCACTACTTTTGAGCTCTGGTCAAAAGTAGTGCACTATATAGGGAATATGGTGCCATTTAGGACGCATCCTAGGTCCTGTATGATGACAGATGGAAATGGTGATATGCAAGATCCAATCTGATCGGTAATTACATCTCCCTGTGTGTATTTTAGGAGCAGCCATCCCTGTTAATCAAAAAATCCGGATTGGCCTTCAGGGTGCCTCTCGGCCTGAGACAATAGAGGGAATAACTGTGCAATTTTTGTTGTGGCCCCGGACAAACACACCTGATTCTACTTGTCAACTAATCATCAAGCCCTTGGCAAGTTGAATCAGGTGTTTTTGTCCGGAGCTACAACAGAAATGTGTGCTGTTGGGAGTACTCGAGGACCGGAGTTTGGAAACACTGCCATAGGAGAAACCTTTTTAGTTCCAGGTAGAACCCTTTTGGGTTTCATGTAGAACCCTCTGTGGAAAGGGTTATTTTACTCGTTATTGTTATTCACTGTATTTCTTGTGTCACTATTTCTATAAAAAAAAAAGTACATCTTTATCTTTAACTCTGCATTGTTGGAAAATCAAATCAAATTGTATTTGTCACATGCGCCGAATACAACAGGTGTAGACCTTACCGTGAAATGCTTACTTACAAGCTCTTAACCAACAATGCCGTTTTAAGAAAAAAAGAGTTAAGAAAATATTTACTAAATAAACTAAAGTAAAAAAATAAAAGAGTAACAATAAAATAACGAGGCTATATACAGGGGGTACCGGTACCGAGTCAATGTGCGGGGATACAGGTTAGTCGAGGTAATATGTACATGTAGGTCAGGGTGACTATGCATAGATAATAAACAGTGAGTAGCAGCAGCGTAAAAAGGGTGGGAGGGGGTCAATGCAAATAGTCCGGGTAGCCATTTGATTAGCTGTTCAGCAGTCTTATGGCTTGGGGATAGAAGCTGTTAAGAAGCCTTTTGGACCTAGACTTGGCGCTCCGGTACCGCTTGCTGTGCGGAAGCAGAGAGAACAGTCTATGACTAGGGTGGCTGGAGTCTTTGGCAATTTTTAGGGCCTTCCTCTGACACCTCCTGGTATAGAGGTCCTGGATGGCAGGAAGCTTGGCCTCAGTGATGTACTGGGCCGTACGCACTACCCTCTGTAGCGCCTAAACCGAGCAGTTGCCATACCAGGCGGTGATGCAACCAGTCAGGATGCTCTCAATGGTGCAGCTGTATAACTTTTTGAGGATCTGAGGACCCATGCCAAATCTTTTCAGTCTCCTGAGGGAGAATAGGCGTTGTCGTGCCCTCTTCACAACTGTGTTTGGACCATGATACACTCTAAAAATTAGGGGTTCAACAAGGGTTCTTCAAAAAACCTTAGGGTTCTTGGCACTAAAAATGGCCCCCAAAATGTTCTTCCAAGAACCCCATAGGAGGTGGGGTTCATCGAGGAACCTCCTTAGTTGGTGGGGTTCTTGCGGGAGCCTAACTGCCCAACTGAAAAATTTGGATTTGAATTTGAAAGGACAGCATGTGCAGGCACTTAACTGAAAAATGTAAAGATCTCCTCAATTTAAGGTAAGGTTTGTCCCTTGTATAATCTAAATTGATATTGTTTTATATTTGTGCAAATCTTTCTAAAACAGAAAATTGACAATTCAATGGATATCAATCAACAAAGAGGTAAGAATATGTAGGCTATAAGAATATGTTGAAGGCTAGCTGTATTGGGTGCAGATGTCTGAACTGCTCACTTTTGTGTCTGTGTCTGCAGGTATACAGGCGAGGAGGCATACAAAGGTATCTCAATTTG